GTCGTCGGTGTTGACACGGGTGCGCTGGAACTTGTAGTGGTGGTAGGAATGAAGCCATTGCAGAGTCCTTTGTTGCAGGTGTTAAAAGCACATTGCGAATCCGAAGTGCATGAAGATTGGAAATTGCCACAACGTGGCTGTTGCATCGAGTTGACGGCGTAGCAATCAGCTCCGTCTAGGCAGGGTGTCGAGTTCGGATCGCAAACTTCACCCAAGGGAACGTAGACGGATGATGTTACCGTGCACGCATCAATATCAACCTCAGAGCTGGTTGTATTCGTAGCTATGAATCCATTGCAGAGTCCGTCGTTGCAGGTGTTGAATGCACATTGCGAATCCGAGCTGCAACTGGCTTGGAAGTTACCGCATACTTTGATCAGCATGGAGTTTGTAGAGTAGCAGCCAGCTCCCCCTGCACAGTCTGCCGTCGTTGAGCATGGTTTCCCGAGAGCAATGCTTCCGGGGGCCGTTTGAGGTGCTGGCTATAGAGAGATAGTCAGTAATTGAGGGGTGGCAGAGACGAGACGAGAGGGATTTACAAGAGCAGCTGCAGTCACAATGGATGCTGCCAACGGGAGGAGGGACGAGTACATGTTGATGAATGATGAACTTCAAGTTGGATGAGCTGTAAAGTTGATAGGGGCCGTGAGATGAGGAACGGAGGGATTGAGGCTCAAAATTTTGAAGGGAATCCTCGTGCATAATATAGAGAGAAAGCCTTTACCGCGTACGCGTTACTCTACGTTACCGAGTCGACCAAAAGGTCTTAGAGAACTCCTAACTCTAAAATACGATGGGTACGACTCATGATCATCTGGTGTATGCTGAGTACTCAATATTAGAACAGTAATAAGTTGAGACGTGCAGGGATCGCACTGCACAACGTCATGGCGATCTTTGAACGACGGGCAATTCTGGCAAGGGGCTGAAGAAGATCATGGGGATTGGATACTCTGATAGCCCTATGAAAGCCATAGCCATTATTGTAACTGAAAACCACCCTTCGAGGCTCGATTTTTGCAAGAAATGAATACAATGGTTGCAATCGATTCTTGCAAACGCTGGAATCTATGAATTGCAACGTTGCAATCTTCCCCCTCTGAGACAACAACATCAACAACAACAACCGTGCTCTCATACAGTAGGGTGGCGAGCAGAAGTAATGTTGGCTTTCCCTTGAGCCGCACAACAGAATATGCTTAGAGATGCATATGCACAGTGAACTATTTGAGGACATGCAGGCTGAACCGATCGGGCGGAAAACAACACGAAAATAGTCAAGGGACTCGGGGGCCGGGGGCTGTGCGAGCCGATCTGGAGGACTTATCATAGTCTTTCGGAATAGTCACGGGACCCAATTCTCTCGCTACCATCGACATTCCCCTTCCGTATTTCCATCCTATCACGTTTCGAAATGGGAAAACCGACATCCGGGCAAATTCATTCCCATTGGCGCGCTTGCTCGATTTCTCAATGACGGACAGCACTTCTTTTTTTGGAAATCACTACAGGACGCCACTTCTCGTATCCCGTCGTCTATCTTGCTACTATCTTTTCCCCCTCCTCGGTAACGACTAAGAAAGTGAAGCCCGCTCGCTCTCTCAGCGGAACGAAGAGTGCAAGTTTCACAAACACGAATTCATCCCGTCGCTATAGCATCCCAACCGAGCCCAAGCTTTTGCATTCGAACAGCCAGGACTTAGCGCAACGCAGCCAAATACGAAAATACGAGAATGACCAAACCGCTCCCCCCCGTTCCCCACCTGGATATGCAGCCTCAGGTACCGGTACAGCTACATCTACCGTAATAGTACCTAGTACAGGACAAGCAGCTGAGGCTCATGTGAATCGTCCAAGCCAAGGCTCGGTCTTATCTTTTGCTTGACATTTTGAGCATTGAGCATAGAATGAACCGGCCGTCCCCCTCACGCAGATCTCCCGCAACACGAGCCCCCCGAAATACGTAGTACGAGCGCGCTAACAGCATGTCATGCCTACCGGAACACTACGTCATCTCTTCGGGCGGAGATTCCGATCCCAGGGACGCTTTACTAGCTAGCCAGCGAGTTTGTCCCAATCCAACTGAACTCTTGCAACATTAACTTCTCGCTAGAGAGGAAAGGAGGTGGGACGGACCGGGGGGGGAATCCTTATGACGTTCTTCCGTTCTTGTACTAGGCTTGACTCAAGAAAGGGAGCAGATGTCCGCTTCCAATCATGTTCGATGCAAGATGTCCGCCTTCCAATCATGTTCGCCGCAAAATGTCCGCCTTCCAATCATGTTCGATGCGAGATGTCCGCCTTCCAATCATATTCACATGAGATCGGTTTCGAAGCAGGGCTGATGGATTAAGGCTAATGGGCCTAAGAACCTAAGAAAGCTTTTGCCCCGACGTGGAGCGTTGTAGCGTCGGGGTGTGTCGGGCAGAGAGTCCGCTTGAGGTGCAGAAGACCGACGGTCCGATACACATATATCCCCATATTACCCCACCTGAAATAGTACTTCATGCTACTACGTATCTCCAAGACAAACAGAACAGCTGCCTCTTCTCATCCCATCCTTTCGCCAGACAATCCAATTCCCATCCTCATCTATAACATACAATCCTTTTCTACCCAGCCACTACATTTATTGTAAACATGGACTATTCTCGAAGGTACGCTCTCGTGCCCCTTTTCCTCTTCCCTCCCTTGAAATGCAACATGACGTGTTCTAATAGAGGGACCAGACCAAGACCACAACAACCATACTCCAGCCCCAGCCGAGCCACCTACGCCTCCCCAGCAAACTCCCAGCCAGACGCCAAGCTGGATTTCAGCAACCGGATGGCCCGGGCCAAAGCCGCCATGCTCGCCAGGGAGCACAAGTACCATCCCTACATGTTCGTCCCCGAGATCGCCGTGTCGCCGTCGCTCGACACGGTCTTGGAGTCGGACGAGGAGAAGCCTTGAAGATCGCCGGCTTTGGTTCAGGGATACGGAAATATAAATACGTGGGTGGGGAGGACGGGACTTGCCAGAGTGTCGACGGGCGCCCCATTCGGTGATGATGGAGGGTCGGCATATGATGTGGGCATGTGCGAGGGGGTTGGGGAGATGAGGCAGTGAGTGAGTGGTGAGGATGGGGGCTGAGTCGCTTGCGGGCTCTTGGAGCGGAGGCGCCGGTGGGGGTCTTCGATGGAGCTGTGGTTGGTGCGCATACGAGAGCGCGGCGACCATTCCCAGAGGAAGAGGAAGCTGGAGCTGGACAAGAGGCGGAACCGGATGGATATGTGGATGGATGACGAGGGATGCCAGCGCATCCCAATGCTATTGAAGACGGTCGGGACGTTGCCCAGCTCGCCTCTAGCAGAAATTATGGAGACCGCGCAGGAGGCGTTCGTTATGGGGTCACCTCGATGGCGTAATGTTATATGTATATATGTATATATCGTTTGAAGTGCTGCAATTATGAAAAGATTTGGGCCACAACAACATTGAATTGTGAGCCAGATTTTCTGCAATACTGAACGATAATGCTGCTGCAATGACTCTTCCCATCTTCAAGTATGTGTGTGTACTGCTTGAATATGCCTGCCTGTTCGTATTTGAGAAATGAAAAATCATTGCTTGTAAGATAAAACGGAGTACCGATGTCGTCGCAAAGGGCTTTTGGCGCTGTCTCAGATTCTATAGGTTGATTCGCCCCCTATTGTTTACTTCCACGGTAGCGTTATTTTTGTTAGCCGAGTTCTGAACGCCAAGCGGTAGACACCTTTGGAAAAAGCCGAATTCATAAATAAAAGAGGTATCTTAGGGTAATGTATGAGAAGCTAAGTTGATAAGAACAATTCAAGTATTCCTCTTGATCCCCCGCAGAGGTCTTTTAAAAAGCACAGTGAGCGTCGTTGGCTTCTCATGCTTCTTATCACTAGACGCATATCCTGTAATCTGGACCTGAGTCCCTGTTGAATCAGTGAGCACATGCTTTGGGGATTGGCCAGGAACGTAAAGGAGTTGGAAAGGCTTGAGGACCCTTGATGTCGAGCAGACGTACCGTTTCCTTGGGGGCCGACATTCGAGATTTTCGGTTCCAGGATCGAGGGAGTCATGTCGTAGAATTTGAAGCTGACTGAGAGCACTTTGGGAACGTTGTCGGTCAGAGAAATAATTGGTTGGCCGAAAGCTTTGTCGGCAAGCACGAAGCTGGCGGTCGGGCCAACAAAGGTGGCTCCGAAATTAGCGCTCCCATCCGTCCATTCCACAATGATCTAAGGTGTAGGGTCAATGTATGCTATATTGAATGATCTTTAAAGCGCCGGCGAGGCCATGGGACGAATTCAGACTCACCTGAGATCGGTGCTCGTACAGCGACAAGGCCGTAAGATCTATGGATTTGGTTCCTTCTGGAATTGAGATTTTGATTAAAGGTGGCATCGTGGTTTGGTGTGAAATCTATAGCAACGGTATTCAGCAACAGCGGCGGGTTTGTTGTTGCATCGGGCCTTGGGCGAGGAGGTGAAAATTTTCCCGGCCAAGATAAGGAGTGAACTTGGTTAGAATTGAGATTATTTTGCTCTGCTGATCTTTACTCTCGAGTTAAGAGCCGAGGATGGGAAAAGATCGACTCTGGAGGAGATATTAAATGCAGGTCTAATATTGCCTGCTGGTTTGAAAAGGAGTGATACCGGTAGACGGAGATGGTGAAGATGAAAATATATTCGATGTGGCTGAGCGATAGCTGGACTGTGGCTGATCTGGTCCGTGCCGCCAAATTAACCCAGCGCGACGACTCGCGTGTCTGAGACCCATTTCGAGATTGTCTCCATGCGCATGCGGCCAGGACGATGAGGATTTTCAGACAGCCATGGACTTTGTGAGATTTCCCCCACGTCGATACTTCCAACTTGACTAATATACTCTGTAGTGGTCACGCCTCATAGCGGGCACTTCCCTCGCCCCGAGTTCCAGCAAGGCTTCTAGCAATAATCCCGAGAAGCGTCTGGCACGCTTCAAGAAGGGGTACAACCAGCTCTTGGTCCGTCAATATACATTCAGGTCGTCACGTTGCGTGTAGCTGACGGGAATAGCAAACATGGCGTGGTGCATCCAATTTGTCTAGGGACCACGAAGCTGCCGAAGACATCCGGGCTAGCCTTCAAGGCTTAACAGCCATTATCAGCGATGAGACGAGACGCCCTTTACCACATCCATGCATTACCTTTGCATCTACGAAGCAAATATACGTCACTATCGGCAAGATAGCGACAACTTCGTACAATGAAGGAATCATCAGGGAAGGGGTTGCGTTCTTTGCGACTCTGATTGATAGCGAAGAGGAGGACTTCGTGGAAAACGACACATTCTCGAACAGTCTCATGAACCTTTTGGTTCGCATTACTGGAGCAAACAGCATACGTCTGGGATCGGATACGGAGGTCGAGGTCGTGGAGCTGTCATTCAATATCACCACCAAGATCAGGCTTGATCCGGAGATCCTGCCTGCGTGGTTTACAGCACAGGAACGTAGTGATGCAGAGGACGGACAAGATGCCCACGATAAATTTACGGGAAAGACACACAAGGAAGACTTCCCGCTGTTCTATCTATTGATAGACTATATCCATCATGAGGGCAGGATAGGCGACTTTGCGAGGACGGGACTTCTGTACATCATCGAAGCAGCCTCGAGCTCTGTGGCTCTGGAACAATGGATTGTCGAAAGCGATCTCGCCACATTGATGGCAACGGGTCTAGGAGCATTGTACAGTCAACTCAGCCGAAAGCTGGTAATTGACCATGGCTTAGAAGACCTTCCACCCATATTGGCTTTCTCGGACTATGAACAGCCGCATACCTCATCAGATATTGTCAGCTCCTCATCTTCAGAATTTCAGATGCACATGGAAACCTTTCTGTCACACTTGGTTTTCTGGCAGGATGTTCTTAATCACTGCAAATCTGGCGAGGTGAAGCAGACATTGCTAGAACATTTCCAAGTCATCTTTCTCCAACAGCTTTTGTAAGAATTTCTATCTACCACTTATCTCATACCCACTAACGTTAAAGATACCCCTCGCTACTTGAGTCCTCGGACGTAGACGGGGGGTCTTCAGTAGCAGTTCTGACCTACTTACGACGAATACTAGAGGCCTTGGATCATCCAGACATGATTCACCTCATATTACACTATCTTCTTGCGTTGCCAGATACAGTCCCTGCCCCGTCGGTGTCTATAGCATCTGTAAGTGCAGCAAGAAAACGAAAATCGATGGATCTCGCAACCATGATGTCTACACATGTCGAAGCGGTGTCAACTCCGGCACTTTTCAATTTGGTTGATTTGATCCAAGCCAGCCTTCGGTCACTGAACGAGCAGACCATTTCTGTCACATTACAGCTAGTCTCTGTTATTCTGAAGCGGCATCACAGATATGCCGTGACAACCCTACTATGGACCAGCAACGTGCTAGCTGATGGTCCACAGCGAAGTATCGGAGCCCACGAAATGGAAATGGACTTCTTGCTCACACTTGCCGGGAACATCGGAGGTGAGGACAATTTTGATGGGCTATACGAAAATCATGTGAAGGACTGCATGAGTGCGTTGGAAAGCCATGCCTGCTCAGTGACCCTGATTGCGCCCAAATCGCCTGGTACTTCGAAGTTCACTGGAACGCTACCCAAAATTTCTGGTGCGCCTCGGGAAATTCGGTCGCACACTCTACGATCGGAGGACCCCATGCTTAAAGCATTGGTTCTCATTCTGGCATCGTTTTTTACGAACTCGGTAGAAACAAATCTGTCTCTGACAGGATCGATAATCGACCTGGCCACGTGCGGGTTCATGAAGATAGATGGCTGGCTGCTGCCAGATCCGTCCAAGTTCAGCTACGACGATGATGAGGAGGACGTTGGCTCTGAAGACCCTTTACTCTTGGGGTTTGGTGATCCCATAGAAGGGCAGGAAAAAGCACAGATCCGGAACTTGAAATTGGCTCGTCGGACACCGAGGTGGTCTGAGTCCCAGAACCCAACACTGCTCAATCAAATTAAGACTCTCGTTGACCAAATTGCAACATATCGCTCTGAGATTCCGCGCTTCGATGAACTGCTCCAACAGCGTCGAGAAGCATTCCGATCTGCTTCGTCAGTTACCCCTGTTCCGAACCGACAACACACCCCTCACTCCCGCGCCAATTCTCCGTCTCGGTCTTCATCTCCTGCTCGGCTATCAGCTCTCGATGCTTTCGCTCAGCGCATCTTCCCCGAACTCGGGACACCATCAAGATCCCACTCCCCGCGGGGCCGAAGAAGCCAGGATCGTAGCAGCAGCGGGCTAGGAGCTCATGGATACGCTAACTCTGCATCATCACGCAACCCAGTGCTTCCTCCACAATTTCCACTGGGCGTAGACCATTCCGCACGAACCAGCCCACGTGCCTTTTCGCATAATCCCTTGCGAGCCGACGAGAAGAGTGGAAAAGGCATTCCAGCTAGCCAAACAGCGGCATTCGCAGCCGTAGACCAAAGTATCCTCGCGCGGAAAGTTACACAGCCCCAACCAAAGAATAGTGTGACTCCTATTCCGTTCCCGGATCTCAAAGGCGCGAGCATAGACGAGGGTAAAGAAAGTAGCACTGTAGAGGCAGATGAAAGCTCTGCATTGAATGAAGAGGAGAAAGAAGAGAAGGAAGAGGTGTCGAAGACGGTCAGCGTCAACCATCTCCTGACAAATGTGATCGTGTTGCAGGAGTTCTTGCTGGAGTTGGCGGCTTTGGTACAGGTCCGAGCCGGTCTTTTCGGGGAGGTGAGGTATGTGTAGATAGTTGTTTTGTAAATATATGAGATACCTTTCTGCGTCTCTGGCCAAATGTCGCTTGTGTTGCTACTTACTTTCCGTGTATGAGGATGATTTACGATTCTGTCGTCTGCTTTGGATTTTTCATGATGAAGCCGCGGGTGCCCGCCGGTGTCGGGAAGTATCCCCTAACGCTCGTTCCCATTCAGGCCTACACCACCGTGTTAACTGGTAAAAGAGGATATAGAAAACACAAAGTGACCTTTCGGGACACTAAATATTGCGATAAGATAGGAATATAAGACGGAGCTGACAAACAAGAATTATGTATTATCAAACTCTTAGGCGGGGAAAACATCTTCAGGGAAACAAGTAATATATAGTCTGCAGCTGCCTCGGAATTTGACATAATCAAACTCATTGCTGATATAATCAGAGAGCTTCTGAAGGTTGGGAGTAAATAGGCCTTCATATGAGAAGACAGAAAAGCAATGAAGTTTCCCAGCGACCAGCGACGACGGATCAAGATGAGTTCCAGCGCTCCTGGGCTTGTGTTAACCTTTGAGGGAATCCTCAAGACGTGCTACTAAAGTAATGTTCAATGGTGTATAAGAGGCTTTTCTGCTGCGATAAAAGCAGCACGGCTAGGAACTACCAAACAGTAGTTATTTCAGACGCTTGTTGATTGTCTTTGTCGAGAATTCCTAAGAGCAATCAGCAAACACTGAAACCGTGTCGTTCAAACATCCTTGAATTTGACAGGGGCATGCGCTTGAGTGGGCCGTACTAGTGGCGGCTATTAAGTGGGCCTCCTCCAAAGACCAGGTGAGGTTGACAATCAACAGAGAACCGGTACAACTTACTTATGTTAACGATCTCGGTCTCGATCAGAACTCATCTCACCACACAAAATGGCTGACCGATTCCCGTCCCTTGAGGAGTTTGACTCCGGCGGTAAGTCTCTCTTTCACCTCCTTTCACTCCTTCATCAATCTGGCATCTTTGCTGCCTCCCCCCCGTACTAACACCACGCCTAGCACAAACAGAAGCTCAAGGCAGCTCCGGCTTTGAGGGAGACGATTTCCTAAGTCGCGAGAAGGCCCTCCTGGGAGACGATGCGGATCAGTTTGCTTCGGGCAACGACAATGCGGCGTACGTGGAGGATGGAGGCGACGACGACTTGCTCGGCGGTGGTGGCTACAGCGGAGGAGGCAACGAGCAGGTCACGGATTTCGAGAGCTCGTTCCCCGCAATCGACACATCCAACAACGTACGTTCTCCATGCCACATCTGCATTGTTCACATAACCAGAGGGGCAGAAGAGGGCAGGAGCTGACCGCACGGCTATCAAACAGGACGTAGCACCAGGTGGCAGCATCACGCACACAACCCCCTTCCAATCCTCCTATTCGGCCCCGCACGCCGCCGATGAGGAGGAGCCCGAGGTCCTCAAGCAGTGGCGCGAGCGTCGGGACCTGGCTCTGCAGGAGCGCGAGGCCCGCTCCGCCGAGCGCAAGGAGGAGACGGTCAAGGCCGCGCAGCAGAACATTGATGACTTCTATGAGAACTACAACGCCAAGAAGGAGAAGAGCATCGCTGCGACCCGTCGGGATGCCGAGCAGTTCCTCGAGAGCAGAGAGGACACGGCGGCCGGAGGTACGAGCTGGGAGCGCATTGCGAAGCTGGTCGATTTGAGCGGCAAGGGCACCAAGGGCGGGGCGAGCGGGAGCGAGAAGGCGAAGTTCCGGGATCTGTTGTTGGCGCTGAAGAAGGACGAGAAGGCACCGGGTGCGACGGGTGTTTAAGGGACGGCTACGTGGACAGGCAAATAAGGTCACTTGTCAATACAATCGGATGATTTGGGGTATTTCTCGTGGCTGCTTTGATTGGGCGTGTAAGATCAGAGTTGGGTGCATTGCTGGTTGTATCTTTCGTTTGCGCTGCCTGGATGCTGGATCTGGGCTGGGGCGTTGAAAATGCACGGCACATATCAAGACCACCTTATGAAGGACTCGGGACATTTGCAAAATCGTGAAAGTTCATTGGTCTCTATCGCGTTAAAAATCGTATGACATGCTATTGCTATACTGCTATTATTAGGTCGTTCTCCAGGGCCATACGGCATCCCTCTCGTATCCTACAGGTTCATTCTGGGTCTTCAGAATAATTGCTCAAAGATGCAGCGTTGGCCTTAGCAGCAGCTCGCTCTTGCTCTTCGAAATCCTTCAACGCGGCTTGGCCTTCCTCGGTAGTGGCATCGATGATTTGCTCCTCTAAAGATAACATACCGCCCTAATTGGATCAGCTTAGAACTGTACTTATATCATATATGTGGAATTACCTCGCCCAATTGAGCAACAACCTCCTCGGCCTCCTCAACACTCATCTTACCCAACACTTTGTTGACCTCATCCAAGCTTCCACTCTTCAAAGCCTTTTGCAGGCCTGGTGGGAAAGCCTCAAACAACTCTCTCGCCTTGATTTCCTCTGGGTTCTCGCTCGTAGCAGGAGGGATTGTAATGTTGATGGACGTTCCAGGATCAACAGCATGTAACTGGATTTGCTCGACTCCACCTCTACCGTCTGCTTCTTGTTGTGCTCGCTGCTTCTCAAGCTCCTTGGATCTGTATTTGATCTTTTGGAAGGTAGAGTTAACATCATCGAAGAAGACTTTCTGGGCTTGGTGGCCTTGGGTGGTGATGCGCTTGAAGAATAGACCAACTCCATCCTTGCCAAGGGCTCTGCAATACTGTAGCAGGAGCCCTTGGTGTACGCATTGCCGGGCGAAATCTTCCTTCCCATCCATGCAATTGTTGAATGCCATAACCAGCAAAGCATCAGTCTCTCTTTCAGCTAGTACTGGTGGGTGGGCAGAGATGTATTGCAGCGAGGCTCGATAATCTCCGATCTTGATCTTGGAGAACGCCTTACCCAGCTCCGTCGGCTCCGTTTCCTCGTCGTCTTCCTCGTCTGCATCTGGCTCGTCGACATCTGCATCGGCACCTGACGACTGCGTGCCATCCGGATCTCGTGCTGCCAAAACATTTGGGTTCAACACTTCGACCGCCTGGATCTTATCATTCTTCGTCTTCTTCACCTCTGTAGTGGATGCAATAGTGTCGGCTTTGGTGACATGAGAACTGTTAAAGCCGTCGTGGAGACCCTCACTTGTAATCTTCTTGGCCTCTTCTACTTCCAACCTGTTCAATTCAGCTAGCAGCTGCGTTTGTAGACCCTCAACCTTTGTCTTGTGCGAAGTGATCTCCTTAACATACGCCTCGAATCGATCCGCATCCGCTGGCTTGTCCTCGTCAACTTTTGACTTAACCTGATCGACCAGAGCAGCCATCATCTTTGAATAGCTAGTTGGCTCTTTCTCTTGGGTGTGGACACCAACTGGTGGGGGCGGGGGCTGGTCTCCGTCCGAAGCACTAACAGACTCCATGATTGCTTGGAAGACCAGCTCATCTGGACTGCGGCTCTGGATCTCCTTGTTATGGGATTGCAGAGCGGCGAGGAGAGCGTTGATGCGCTTGAGGAGGCCATCATTGATGATGCGCTCATACTTATACGTCTCGATCTGATTTTTACGCTCGAATCTAGCTTGGTGGATTTGATTCTGCTTGGCCCGGATGAAGGAACGCTTATCGACGTTGGGATGAACTTCAATATCTGAATCGTCGCTGAGCTCCTGTCCATGGATCAGAATGCAGGTTCCAGGGAATTCCATGGCGAGATATACATACCAGGGCATCCCACTTACTGTAGTCAACAGGCATTTTGACGGTCTCTACCCCGAGTAGCTTCCGAGAGATGATTGTGACAGAGTATTGTGTTTGAGATGAGATTTTCTTTGTGGAAAAAGGAAGTACTGTGTGGAATCCTACCCGTTAGGAGGGAGAACAATAAGTGCAAGGAGGTATAGGTAGGGAGCTACTTACCCCACCACGGGAAAACAAAACACCGGCAGCTACTCAGAGGCTTCAAACGGGTAATTTTCAATTCAAGACTGCATCATCACCACTCGCGAGACATCTACCCTCTACCCTCTCACATCGGCCCGCGCTCTTCCATGCTCGGCTCCGCTCGAAGTGACCATGCGCCTTCGACGACCCGAACTTTATCTATACAGGTGCAGGTGATATCAGCGGATCTGATATCCCTTTCGTGATGCGACGTGCGACCGTCTTCCGAGGCTGTGGCCAGGGGGCCTCGTTCTTCGAGAGAGCTTCTAAGCAGCTCGCGGAATGGAGTACTATACCTACGACGACGACCTCTCGAGTATCCGCGCCTTTGTCATCTCACGTCTCTATACGATACAAATCTAGCGTCAATGCTTCTTTTCAAATGGTACCCTCGGCCGTCCGACCGAAGGCGCAAGTCCATCCAGCAAGTCTTTTTGTACAACCAAGAGTAGGCCTGTTGGCACATTGGAGGCCGGCAGCTGCTCAACTACGGCTATTCAATTATACCCCTCGCTTGCGGGAAGCACCGAAATCCCAGGACCGGCAGGATCTGATAGAAAAAGTGAGGGCTAAAAGAGAGGAGGAAGAGGAAGATCTGATCGACGATCAAGCTGGATTCGGGAGAAGCGAGAAGGCAAACAGAGCAGCCCAGGTCAACCTGAGTGCGCGTCTCCAGAGCAATAAGACCAATAACTCTGCAGGACTCGGCGAGATATGGAGGTTAATCAAGATTGCAAGACCAGAGGCAAAATGGCTAGGACTGGCCTTTGCCTTTCTGTTGATTTCATCCAGTATTACAATGTCTATACCCTTTTCTATCGGAAAAATATTGGATCTAGCTACCAAGGATCCCTCGGAGGGAGGCAAATTGTTCGGCCTGGAAACCGGACAGTTTTATCTGGCTCTTGGTGCAGTTCTCACTGTTGGAGCGGCCGCGAATTATGGACGTATCATCATTCTTCGAATTGTAGGAGAACGCATCGTTTCCAGGCTACGCTCGCAGCTGTACCGGCGGACATATGTGCAGAATGCCGAGTTCTTTGATGCCAACCGAGTCGGAGATTTGATCTCTCGGCTCGGTTCAGATACTGTCATTGTTGGCAAAAGCATTACGCAGAATCTGTCCGATGGACTTAGAGCAATTGTCAGTGGAGGTGCTGGATTTGCGGCGATGGCTTGGGTCAGTCTGAAGCTCACCAGCATTCTTTGCCTGATGTTTCCACCCGTGGCAATCGGTGCTTTCTTTTACGGTCGAGCTATCCGAAATCTTAGTCGGAAAATTCAACGGAACCTGGGAACTTTGACGAAAATCGCGGAAGAGAGACTTGGAAATGTGCGAACGAGTCAGGCATTTGCTGGCGAGATCCAGGAAGTTGGACGATACAATCACCAAATCAAGAAGATTTTCGCGTTAGGAAAGCGAGAGGCTATCATCAGCGCTACTTTCTTCAGTTCCTCAGGGTTCCTCGGGAACATGACAATCTTGGCATTGCTCTATTCTGGGGGGTCTATGGTCAAGAGCGGTGTCATTAGTATTGGCGATTTGACCTCGTTCCTGATGTATACTGCCTATGCAGGATCGAGTCTGTTTGGTGTTTCCAGCTTCTACTCCGAACTCATGAAGGGTGTTGGTGCTGCCAGTCGCTTATTCGAGCTCCAAGATCGAAAGCCTAGTATCCACTCTACAGTTGGAGTAAAGGTCAAATCTGCCCAAGGTGTCATCAAATTCTCTAACGTTAACTTCGCTTACCCAACACGGCCGGCAGTCAACATCTTCGAAGGTCTTGATTTTGAGATTCCATCGGGGACCAACGTTGCCATTGTTGGGCCCAGCGGCGGTGGCAAGTCCACTATTGGATCCTTGCTTCTCAGATTTTACAATCCTACAAATGGAACTATCTCTATCAATGGGGTAGACATCTCCAGCATGAATATCAAATCGCTTCGGCGCCGTATTGGCATGGTTGGTCAAGAACCAGTCTTGTTTTCTGGTTCTATCGCGGAGAACATCGCGTACGGCAAACCGAGCGCATCTAGAGCAGAAATTGTTGCTGCAGCACGGAAGGCGAACTGCCAGTTCATTAGTGACTTCCCCGATGGTCTTGATACCAGTGTCGGTGCTCGTGGCGCTCAGCTATCTGGAGGTCAGAAACAACGAATTGCCATTGCCAGAGCGCTACTCAAGAACCCCGACATTCTGATTCTCGATGAGGCCACTTCCGCTTTAGATGCGGAATCCGAGACGCTGGTCAACTCGGCTTTGGCAGCATTGCTTCGGGGACATAATACCACTATTTCAATCGCCCATCGACTTTCAACTATAAAGAGATCTGATCAAATTATTGTTCTCGGCAATGACGGCAAGGTCGCGGAGACGGGATCATTCCCTGCTCTATCCAGCAATCCTGACTCTGCCTTCTCCAAATTGATGGAGTGGCAAATGAGTGGAGGAGACGCAGCGGACAAGCGGCCTGCGTCATCAGAAGGTCACTTCACAGAGACGGAAGAAATCGAAGACGACCTGAAGCGGATGGACGAGGACGTAGCTGATGAAGAAGACTTGACAGATGACTTGGTCAGAATAGAGGACGGAGATAACAAAAGGGCGAAGGGTAACACTCAGAACCAGACTGGGCCGGTACTGGACAAGAGGGACAAGTAGATAAAGGAAGACCTGCAAGGTTGGGCTGTGAATAATCTTGGGGAGGGCAGTAGGAGGTGCAGTGCGCCGCAAGGCGATTTCCCTCCGTCTCTGGCGTTTTGGTAACAATGCATTGCGAGGGCGGGCTACGGCTACCGGTTGATTCCAGCTGAAGGAATTGGACAGTACGGCCGAGTGCCTATTTGAATGTCACTCTACTCCGCTCGTACAATGAATGGTAGCGTAACGCCTTTACATGGAGATCTTCTCGCGATATTTATTTCTTGATGTCGCCGCAAGCCTCCCCGCCACCCGCCCCCCACCTCCTCTCTCTCGCTCCGTCTCTCTGTCTCTCTGTCTCTCTGTCTCTCTGTCTCTCTTCTCTTCTGCCTTTCAACATTAGATATTTGCTTCAAAACTGCTGCACATAGTAGAGAGTAGGAATTGATACTGATGACAAGTACGGACAAGCATCTGCGGGTTATTGACAAGAGGTACCGGTAGGTACCTACTATGTATGCACCATAGCAGCATCTGTGATCAGTAGATGCCCCGGGCTCTTACACCCGACCGTTACTCGGTAATTTGTACTACGTAAAAGTAGTTACGCAGGGTGGACATGCCGAAAACGGAAAGGTGCAAAGCAAGAGCTTTGCCCCCCCCTTGGCCCCGAGCTTTGTTCTTCAAGTTCCAACGTTCATCATCCACAATCTCGGGAGCAGCAACAACAGCAACAGCATCATAGCAGCCGACAGCGACCCCAACTACGGCGCAGAAAGTCAATATTAAATCAACTGCTATCTCTCTGAACTCTACTGTCTAATGCGCTTCGTCTCATCTCCTTATTTTTCTTCATTAACGAAGTCCCCTCTCTATGGAGGCGACGCGGCCACTGCTCAATTTGAAATTAAATCTCATCTGTCAAACTGCGCGGTCCTGGCCATCCTTGCGCTTGCTGATGCTGGGGAAGCTTTGAGGCCGGATAAGCTTCGTCTCGCCATTAATCCGGCTTTTCGAACGAACCACAGGGTCTTGGGGCGCATAGTGGCTGTGGTCGGTCGGTTCTTTGTATGAGGTATTTGAGGCATTTACTGCTTGCCTGTTAGTATTGCTGGTAATGCTCGGCTAAGCGAGGAATGTATGCTGCATTATTGGTAGCCGCCAGGAAGCGACCTCGACCGTCATGTCGGTATGTGTTTGTTGACTCCGGATAAGAGCGAGGAGCAGCTTGTTTGAATACACAGCAACGCATGCAATCACCGACACCGACCAATGCATGGGACGAAGAGTGAGACTCTTTCCTGCCCACCAATAGGATGATATAGGCATAATGGCTCAGCCGCAAAACCGTTGGTGGCCTGTCCCTTGTCTGGCTCTGCAGCGCCCGTGTCAAGTGTCAACTCACGATGCTGAGATAGCTTGGCCCCCCGAGAGGGATTTCTTTATCGGATTTCAAAGCTTCATCAGCTGAGCCGGTCAGGTTGTCAAGCACGATTGGGGACGATGCAGGCCGAGATTCGATACCGCTAGTCGTGGTGATCGAACTCTACTGGAAGACTCTCATGGCACGCACATGGCATAGCCCATAAGGAGTGCGTGCTATAAGGAGAGTCAACTGCTCCAACAATTATCGTCAAGTTATTCCAGTCGCCACGCAAAAGAAGCTGAGCGCCAGCTTTTGCGGCTTCCCAATTCTCTTTGTCCTGTAATCCACGGCCTCTTTACCTCTCTTCCTCGGAGATTCATAAGAATCTCCTAGATATCGCTTTCAGGCTTTGGCTCTGCTCAAATTTACGGGAAGTGTAAACCGCAACAATGGTTGAATTCAGTGATGAGAAGCAGAAAGCTTCGCATATTCAATGGGATAGCGTGGACGTAGAAGCTGGCGAAGGAAGAGAGCGGCCAACCTTCCACCGTACAAATTCCAACATCTCTATTCACAGCTCGCACAGCAGAAGAGGTTCTATCGATCTTGCCTCAGCACTGCCGATCCAGTATCGTACTGTTTCCTTCCAGATTGCTGAGTCCAAGGACAAAGGCACAGCCGACATCAAGAAGGCAAAAGATTCCGCTGCAAAAGGTACCTACAGACTTCCAATAGTTGTCGCCTTCCATGAGCTAACAGTATCCAGAGCTCAGCGATCTCGATTGGCACACCATAACTCCAGATGAGATCTACACTCGGCTCTCCAGCTCTCCAACACAAGGCCTCTCCTCAGAACAAGCAAAGCGTCGCCTCACAGAATATGGAAAGAATACTCCCTCGGCTCCGCCAACTCATTACTTCCAGACAATCTTCGGATATTTCTTCAAGGGCTTCGGATCAATCTTGCTCGTCGGTTCCATCCTCGTCTTCGTCGCCTGGAAGCCGCTTGGCGACCCTCCAGCGCAAGCGAATCTGGCACTCGCAATCGTCCTGCTGGCTGTGTTCTTCATCCAAGCTGCCTTCAATGCTTGGCAGGACTGGTCGTCCTCTCGCGTCATGGCATCTATCACCACGATGCTTCCGGACTCTTGCTTGGTTCTACGTGACGGTGCAAGAGTGACCGTCATGGCGTTCGACATTGTTCCCGGCGATATCATATTCATCAAGGCTGGTAATAAGCTGCCTGCTGATTTGCGATTTGTAGAGATCTCCTCGGATGCGAAGTTCGATCGATCGATCCTTACCGGTAAGTGCCCTCGCTCGGTGGTGGCTCGCATATCTGACAATTCTTTTCAGGCGAGTCGGCTCCCCTATCCGGAACAGTCATGACCACCGACCTCAACTATCTCGAAACTAGGTGCATTGGCCTACAGGGTACACATTGTGTCTCTGGAAGTGGTACGGGTATTGTCGTTTCCACAGGAGACTCGACCGTGTTCGGCAAGATTGCAAAGTTGACCAACGCACCAAAGACGGGCTTGACCCCTCTGGAGAGAGAAATCTTTGACTTCGTTATAATCATTTGCTCAATCATGTTTGTCATGATTCTTGTGGTTATAATCGTTTGGTAAGTCAATGCCGGCGAAAACCTGAATACATAGGTCTAACTATGACAGGGCTGCTTACTTGCGCAAGGAGCACCCAGGATGGATTACCGTTCCCCTTTTGATCGTAAATTGTGTTTCCGTTGCCATTGCGTTTATTCCAGAGGGCCTGCCTATTGCTTTAACGGCTTCACTCACTATCACAGCGAATATCATGCGAAAGAACAAGATCCTTTGCAAGTCGTTGAAGACTGTCGAGACTCTTGGATCCGTGAGTGTAATCTGCTCTGACAAGACCGGCACCCTCACCAAGGTAAGATCCTCAATGCTGCCGCAACTCTCCGCTAATTTCGCAGAACCAAATGTTTGTTACCGAATGTAGCATAGGCATGTATAACATGACACCGGAGTCAGCTCTGGATGAGATGATGCTTTACGGGCGAGATATGAAGGAGGGTCACACATCTAACGCTGTCGCGCAACTCCGATCCGCGGCAGGTTTGTGCAACTCGGGAGAATTTGACGCTGGAACCTTCAACCTGCCTATCCATGAGCGCAAAATCAATGGCGACGCCACGGATCAAGCTGTGCTACGATTCTCCGAGTCTCTCGGCCCGGTATCTGAGCTCCGTAAGATGTGGAAGAAGAACTTCGAGTTGGCATTCAATAGCAAGAACAAGTATATGATCCGGACTTTGGAACTGGTCGAAAAGGAGGGCCTTGATATTGCACTCCCCAACTCTGAAGCAGCTACTTTCAGACCCAAGGATACGTGAGTTATCATTCCAAATTACCCAGGCCATAGCTAACACCTATCAGCCTTCTCATGATCAAGGGAGCGCCGGACGTTCTTATTGGTCGCTGTTCAAAGTACACAAACATGGAGGGGGACACAAGAGACCTGGACAACACCACCAGAGCCAAGATCGAGGTAATCAAGAACGAATGGTCTGCTCAAGGAAAACGAGTCATTCTTTTGGCCCGCAAGATAATCCCTAAAGAACAACTCAATTCTGCACCATCATCGACTCACTTCGAGGACGAGATCTCGCACCACGCCCGTACTGAGCTCACCCTAGTTGGCATTGTAGGTATCGTCGACCCTCCCAGGGACGAGATTCCTTCCGTCGTTAAGACGCTGAGAAGAGCCGGAATCCGCATCTTTATGGTAAGACACGGAACTTCCACATATGTTAAGATTCACTAATGAATTTCAGGTTACCGGAGATTTTGCTCTGACTGCTCAAGCCATCGCAACTGAATGCGGAATCATCACCAACCCACCTCACTTAGTTAAAAATGTCTCGGCTCTTGCTAGAGAAGACGCCTACTCTGTTTCTGGAGAGTCTATCCGGAATGACAAGGTTGTCGGGCATGTTCCATCCAACGACGGCGGCAAGACTTCCATCACTATCAGCGGTCCCGAGTTAATCACTCTCAATCAATACCAGTGGGAGCAACTCTGCAAGTATGATGAGATTGTGTTCGCTCGGACTACACCCGAGCAGAAGCTTCGTATTGTTCGGGAATTCCAGGGTAAAGACGAGATTGTCGCTATGACTGGTGATGGAGTCAACGATGCTCCGTCCCTGAAGGCCGCGGATATCGGAATTGCGCTGGGAAGTGGCTCTGACATTGCTATCGAAGCCGCAGATATGGTCCTCCTCGAGTCCTTCTCTGCAATCGTTGAAGCTGTCCAGTATGGACGAGTCGTCTTCGATAACCTGAAGAAGACCATCGCATACCTCCTGCCCGCCGGATCGTTCGCGGAGTTCTGGCCTGTCATGACCAACACCCTGTTTGGCATCCCGCAAATTTTGTCCTCCTTCCTCATGATCATTATCTGCTGCTTCACCGACTGCGCAGCGGCCACCGTCCTGGCATACGAAACCCCCGAAGCCGACGTCCTCCTCCGCAAGCCGCGCAAGCCGAGGACGGACCGCCTGGTCGACTGGCAGCTGATCCTGCAAGCCTACGGCATCATCGGCGTCATCGAGACGGTGTGCTCCTTCGCCATGGGCTTCTGGTACATCGAGCGCCAGGGCATCTCCTTCTCGCACCTCTGGTTCAAGTACGGGGACCTCCCCGCGACCATCGACCCGGCCTTCGCGGCACACCAGTACAACGTCGGCTCGTCCATCTACTTCATGAGCCTGGTCGTCATGCAGTGCTTCTCGCTGATGTGTCTCCGGACGCGCCGCCTGTCCATCTTTCAGCACCCGCCCCTCTTCAACCCGCGCACGCAGAACTGGTACCTCTTCCCAGCCATGGCCTTCGCACTGATCATGGCTGTCTTCTGGCTGTACGTCCCCAGGTTCCAGGAGGTGCTAGGCACGACCGACGTCCCCGTCGAGCACTTCTTCCTCCCGGCTGCCTTCGGCCTGGGCATCCTGTTCCTGGACGAGGCGCGGAAGTGGGCCGTGAGAAGGTGGCCGGGTGGCTGGCTCGATCGATGCGCTTGGTAACATCTGTAGATAATAGAGGATACAGGTTATTGTTTATTTGTAATTAGCGAGGTGGGTTTGTCAATTGTGCTCTCCACGCTGTGGCCGTGTAGTCTAATCTTGATTTTCATGATGAAGAAAAAGGCCTTTTTCCATTCATGTGCATGCATCTATTCGAGTGACTACTTTGTTTTAGTAGTTTCGTGCCTGCCAACCAGATGTTAATAGCAGTGTAGTCATACAGTGATCTCTGTTCCTCCCCCTTCCCCGAGTATTCAAGATCACTCATACAAACTGCACTCGTCTATCTCTACTCCAAGCCTCCAATCCAACCCCCCTGCCTAAAGTCCCGACCTCTCTCCTCCGTGACTCCATCAGCCAGCAGTACCAGCTCGTCCCAACGCCGCTTCAGCGCCCCGTAGTAGAAGCTCACCAGTCCCTGCACCTGGCTCTCCTCCAAGTTGCGAGCGGTCAGGCTGCCGATCAGCTGCTGAGCGACTCTGATGCCGAGGGTGTGTCGTTGCCGAGCGAGAGCGCTGAGTAGCTGGAGGCTGCGAGGCTGGGTTGACGCGAGCAGCTGCTGGGTCTGGGCCAGGTGTTGGGTGAGGAACTGCTCGAATGGACGGATGGTGATGGTAAGGGGGGCGGGCGAGAGGTTGATAGCCTGCTTTTGAAAAGACATTAGTATCCTTTTCCCTTTTCGTTTTTGCGCCATGTCATTCCATTTTTCACTTTGAGTTGGGGTTAAGTAAACTTACGTTTGGAGCAAGGAAGGCGTCCCAGGTGAACAGAGCACATGCCTCGCGCAGGATGTCGGTCTCGTCCGCGGTGAGATCTGGTACGGGCTTTTCATACGAACGGACGAATGTGATTAGCAAGTGCATTTTGGTATATATTTGGGTGCGGGGGGGGGGTTCTTCATGATGTCAGGAGGAGCTAGCGACGACGTACATGAGACATGATCAGATCGATGAAGGCTATTCCCTCATCGGTGGGATCGAAGAAGGAGATGTTGAAGGGGTCTTGGGGGGTTGAGATTGGTCTTCTCAATGATGGGTATTCTCCTGCGAATTCGGACATGCTAGTGAACTGTGGTAGGGTTGGCTGAACTGACGAAGTGGGCAAAACTTGGACGGAGGGGGTCGCGGAAACGACGAGGTAGTCCTCCTCTGATGCGTTAGTCAGGACTATGCTGTTTTGCAGGTCTTGTTGGGATTCGGCTTCGGCTTCGGTCTGTCCAATTGGTAGGTAAAGTGCGAGGTGGTAAGCGGGCTGGAAGGATGGAGAATTAGGCTCGAGGGCCGAGAGAGCCAATGCAGGCATCGGTGACGTGGTGGGAGGATTGAATGATCGGCTTCGTGACTTCTGAGGGCCAGAAGAGGCTTCGCGTGCCATTGGCAAGAACATGGCGGCAGGTCGAAGCTGTGTCTTGTGAGCTGAGCAGCTTAAGTCTGCAGTTCCCGCTTGGCTGTTCGTAGCTTGTGTTTGAACCGCTCGATGGTATTGCAAGCTCTGGCGAGTAGCTTAGGCGGGAGAGCGGAAGGAGTCTTCTCGTTTGTATCCTCTATCGACGTTTCTAGCAGCCCTGATCTGTAGATCGGTGCTGTCACTGGGCCTAGTGCTGCCAGATCCGTCCGCCACGTCTGCACACTTGTCGATGCAGCTATGTTTGCACCAGCCCACTCGTTTGTGTTGATCGTTGAAACTTTTGCTTGATTCTTCTGGCGTGGTGACGAGGAGACTTAAGCTGGAGTCTCGAAGGAGAGTATCGAGACGAAAGGGCATCTGCAATGCGTTGTACCTCTTGTTGCGAATAGAGTACTCTTTCAGCGCTGCAGTAAAACGCCATTGAGTGGAGAAGAGGCCATCAAAATCCTTCCATTTTTTTCAAAGCAGAGAGTAGAGATCGAAGTAAATTTTGAGAAGCTCCCTTCCGCTACTCTTATACTGGCTGAGCAGAGGTATCGCCAAAGGAGCTAGCCCAATCTTGGCGCTAGGGAAATTCTGCCATCTCGAAATTCTGCCCCAACAAAGCCTCTCGCACACACAAACACACCACGACAACGCTTTACTCTTACCTTGAAGTCATTTCAAATCCTCCATTACCACTCAGAACGATGATGCCAACTCCTGCGGCTGTCGATCCGATGGCTAGCAAGGCGGATGACTTGCCAGCCAAAATAGAATCCCCTTCCTTAGAACCCGATATTAACAGCCTCACGATCAACCCATTGCCTTCTATTCCCTCAAGAATCTTGACTCCATCCCCAGAGCCTGAGACTACTGATGTAGGAGTCGATGAGAAGGAGCGTGTCTCACCAACACTCGACGCCACCCTACCCGACCATGAGGCCCCCGTTGGAGATAATGGTGCCGAGAGATCTGAAGACGGACCCCATTCAAGAAAGAGAAGCCCCCCGCCCAATCGATCCAAGTTTGACAAGCTTCTGATCACCGAAGCCAGTTGGAACCACGCTGTTGCGAGCTGGAAGAGGTGGAGGAGGGGAGTATGTTCTCCACCCCTGCGCGAGTCCAAGTCTACGAGCTTGCTGCTAACTATAAGGCTTAGATTCCAAAAGAATATTGGGGGTTGGAGCAATTGGGTAACAAGATCTTCCAAGAGATCCAAGACAAGGTGCTTTCTTATGTTCATGTAAGTTTCTTGCTGCGAATCCATCTTCCACAGCGACAAAGACATTACAATCCACAGCCGTCGCGACCCCCTATACTATCAAGTGCATAGCCATGGAGATATCTGTGTGCTGTGCGGACACGGGGCTTTGTTGTTTAGGTAGATCAAGCGTCTACTTGCTCAACACGGCATCCTGGTACTGTCATTGGCTGTTATCCGAGCCCGGATTTATGCCGCTCATCGCTCGAAGCGAGTCGAAGCGAGTACCATTGCTCGAAGCGAGCCCCTTTCAAGCTCGCCTCGGTCTTGGCATCCATATCATGCCCCTATTGCTTCAACTACATACTCGTCACTCTGAAATCTTGCATCTCACAAGAGCAAGCCAATAGGCCCTTTTTGACCAGTGGCGTTAAGAGACTCAGGAATACAAGCTAACGAGTCTAATAGCTAGCGCCCGGCGACCCCGAGTTTGACAGCATCGAAATCTTCTTCCGTGAGTACGTCGACCACTATGATCTCTTCGAGATGGGTCCGGATGAAATCCAGCGGTGCGAAAACTTTGTTGGAGCTTGTCTTCTCCGCTTCTTGTCCGAGCATGGTGGAACGGAGGGCACCATGGATCACTACATCATCATGTATCTCGCCCACATATATTGCTGTGTTTGGGTAGAGGATGATGGGCAGAAAGTGAACTCTACCATCAACGAATCTACTCAGGAGGAAGTCGAGCCTGTTGGAAAAGATCATACCGCGAAGGAGATCAAATCGGCTGGCGCCGGAACCAAGTATCGTGACCAGGTGGAGATGAAGCACACAGACGTCTCATCTGATGGCAAGGAGATCAACCTTCATGGAGATAACCCCGGCGGAGGGGAGGTCACTTCTGTCAGAGAAGAGGCCAAACCAGACAAGGTCCAGACCAAGTCTACCAGAAAGACAGACGGAATCGATCTCACGAACCTCGTTTTTCTCACTCAACGAGTCCGATCCCAATTTACATTAACCTCCAGGGAATGCATCCGTATTTCGATCAACTCCACTGATTCTGATCACGATATTTACCGGAAAGGCTTCGCCCTCGGCCGCGAAACCAGGATAGAGATCTTTCGGCACTTCAGTGGACTAAAGAAGCTGTGGGATGCGACAGCGGACGCCAAGCAGAAAAGAATGGGTAACATGAAGGAGGAGGATATGCGAGCGGAAGAGGTCGTGGCGGTCCATGAGAGCGTTGAGGAAGCCAGAAAGCAAGGTATAAAGTTCTTCGAAGGCTGCCTGACGCGGGAGAAGGCGCACAAGTTTTTGGACTGCTTCATTATGGGCTTTGACGTTGTTGGCATGACTTCAGATTTCTGCGTCAATTATATGATCTCTGATGTGATGGTAAATCCAACTATGAGGTTCCGTGCTGGAGGATAGAGCTGATGTATTTCTTTTCCAGGTGCAGCATGGCAACACTATACCACAGCGCTACCATGAAGCTGCGCTCAAAGCGGCCCTCAAGATCGTCGGTTGTGTTGGCAAATACGTTGAAACAGTTCAGTTTCGACTTGTAAGTAGCCCAGGCTTAACGGACGTGGGTCACTCACACAATTATCTAACACATTACAGCGAAGCGACAGCACCTGCCTTCCCTTCTTCGTCGAGGGGCACGATGCACCGCTGAATACAGCCGCCATCTTAACGATCATTGATGCCTTGGGCGAAATCAGTGGGACCTGGCAGACTACGGGTTTTCTCTGCTTCCAATATCTGTACAAAATCCTCACCTCCCAATATTTGAGCCACGCCTCCATCGTCTACGCTGCCAAGCTGGTGCTGAGCTACATCAACGTGATGCGCTTCCCCGGAACCAAGAACGTCATGTATCGGCATTCGCTTTCTGCCATACTCGACCTATCGAACTGGGAACATGCGTGGATGATGGATCATAACCTCGAGGAACAAGACAGCGACGAGGAATTCGATTGTGGAAGAGAGACCGAGGAGGAAATGGACGCTGAGGAAGCCCGATATGTCAAGCTCATCATGGGCTGGTTTGCTAAGCATGGCAAGCCGGTTGATGAGAGAACCATTCTCGCTGTCCTTCCGAACTGCGAGTTCAAGATCCTTGATACGATTAAGAAGATTGAATTTTTCAAGGGCTGGAACTGAGCAGAAATAGCTACGATGAACAGGTCAGTGTGCAGATCAGCCAACAGACGAGTCAGCCGGCAGATCATTCCATCAGAGTAGCAAACAGAGCAGTACAGAATCCACCAAATGAAATCGCAACTCTACAATATCTTCTATTTCGTATGATTCTAGAAAATGTGAAATTTCGTATTCATTTCTATACCATCTGTATCCTTAATTGTCGGCAATCAATATGCTACGTCATTCCAGTCTGTAAAATTTCTAGCATATCAGCGGAGCCGGAAACGTAAAAAAACAATGTACTTTTCAAAACATACTCCAGAGTGGCGGATCTTCCTCTTCTTCTTCTCCTCCTTCTTCTTCCCACCGGATAGTAAGTGAGTAAGTCCTCCACACTTCGATTTGCACTTTGCACTAAACAGAGGGTCTTTGAAATGCCTCGTCCTTGCGGTGGGCCATGCGTTCTAGCGTGATCTGATTAGAGATATCGGGAGCCACGGAGGTCTAATCAGGTCTAGAGCTAGTAGGCCTACCAAATAGTAGTAATGAGGGGAGTAGTAGTTGGCAGAATGACCAGCCAGAAAAATTAGATCGAGACAGTCGACGCCTTCCAAGCTGGAAATCCCAGATCTCATTCCCGTGCTTTTTCCGGCGTCCAGTCTCGAGATCTTTTTGCCCAGGTGGCCGTCGTATGACCGGCCCGGTCGGTCATCCTCACTATGGTCTCGTTAGCGCAATGTCTTGGTTTGCACTCGTCTATATGGATGGAGATACTGGCTTTTGGCAGGGCTGTACCTAGTTCTCGTGTCCATTTCCCATCACCTTCAGGAGAAAGCAAGCCGAAGAATTAAAGCGTTCAACGAAGGCGCCAAGGCTCAATCAAACAAGTACGGAATTGTCATGTTTAAGAAGATATATATTTTAATCCTCTGGTTCGTCTCGTCTTGTATTCATAGATAACACGGCTATTTTTTTTTTCTCTTATAAAAAGGGAAAAATGAAAAAGATAAAAGAAAGTAGGAGGAGAGAAAGGAGAAAGGCGGAAGAAAGAAAGAGAAAAAGGATGGGGCGAAAGAAAGTCGACGGGTATCTCTAAAAATAATGGAAGGACTTGTTGTCACCGTCTATACTAATTTTTCCGCCTGAGATAATCCAGTTCGAGAGGCCGCAGAAGAAAAAAACAAATATTTTATTCATACTTCCGGAACGGGGAATTGAACCCCGGTCTCCTGCGATCACGGTGACAATTGTCATGAGAGGCAGAAATGCTAGCCACTACACCATTCCGGACGAGCAGGATTACTCCTCTTACGAAAGCCCAGGTTGTGTTAGGACATATATTCCGCAAACAGAATTTCTGATTTCCAAGCATCCAACGGCTTTTGTTCGGATGCCGAGCGCTGAGCGCCATGGATTAGGTCTGACGAGTCATAACTACTTGCAGTAGTAGTAAGGCTTTGTTGCCGCAACTTTACTGTAGAAGCTATTCTTATTATCTGCTGCGCCTCTTAATTCGCCCAAGTCAAACATTTCGCTTTTCATCGAATACTGCGGATATGCGTCTATTCGGATTGTTTTTTTCTTCTTATTAAAAAAAAGTGTACAGCATTTCTATCCTCAAGCGATCAACGGTATCCAAGTCCTCGCACCAAAAATACCTGCATGCTCTCTCTTCTTCAGTCCAAGAACTAATATAATCGCGAACGTGCCGCTATGAAGCACTTCTTGATATCAAATGATGCCCGGGAAAAGACGACGAGAGGAAAATCTGTTACAACTACACAGTACCGCATAGGCTCACCAAAGTGGCGCCTAAGGCTGCCAACAACGTATAATCCTATAACGTATAATCTTTGTTTCTTAACTGGTGAGTGCGTTGACTGCGCAAAAAAGCAAATTGACCTACGGAGTACGGAGTAGATAAATCGGAGTTTGGTAAGAGAACCAAGGCTGGTAAGCAGTCCTCGGTCCCCCGAATGCGCCCTTGGTACGCTTCAAACCTCACAAAAAAATCTCGATCAATTGGCCCTCGGCGCACTGATCAGTTGAGAAACAAAGATTATACGTTATTGGCAGCCCTGCGCGCCACTTTACTGGGTTTAGGTGGTACCACGGTACAGGCGTAACTGTTACCCCTTGAGGGTGCTTCAAAAGTTTAGTTTCCACTATAAACCCCTTGGTTACCCTACCCTCAGGGGGTAATACTTACTACGTAGTTAGGCCTGTACCGTGGTATTTGTTCAGAGCAGTCGCCTTAATATGGGCGTGAAACAAGATGCTCCTTTCGATTGCGGAGAAGATAAATGCTTGTAACGGACCTACTTGGTAAAAGCGTATTTCAATCGTAGAGTTGAACGTCTACCGAATGTAGCAGAATGACTTAAACACTGATTTTCAAGTATTTTGTAGGCCTTCCTTGTGCGTCAACCACTTCGAATTATACATTAAAACGATGGGTTCTAAAGGAACAGCTTCCCAAGCGTCCCAACTGATTGTTCGAAGTCGATCGAGGATTATTAAAGCTCGGTCGTAATAAGCTCGAAAATATCGCCCCCAAATCCAAATTTTCATTCAATTCCAAACGTGCTCTATCAAATTAGATCGGCAAGTATCGAGGTTTTTTTTAATCGTCTTGAAACCACGGCGCGCAAGTTTCATTCAAGTGAGTTCCGATCGATAGCTACTAGCATTATCGTATTGCCAATACCTTTAGTAATCGTTGAAATCGAGCCATTGCTATACGGAGTACGCGTTCAAGATAGTCGTTTATAAAAGCTCGTCTTTTGGTCAAAAGACCGTCCGGAGACCACTTTAGGACCGTCCTTGCCTAGCCGTCCTATGACCGTCCTATGGCCGTCCCCGAACATGAAGCCGTTCCCGAAGACTTGGATCAGTAAGCAAGTAGGTCGAATATGCTCTTTCGGCTCCCCTTCTTTCCTACCTCCTCCCTTCTCGCCACTTTTACTTTGCGATGTTTTTTTTAAAGTGATCATCATCGAAGCTAATAAAATTGCACGGGGTTTAGATGGCCAAAGATATTTTTCGTATTTTTATACTGGTATTTTAATAGAGAGTTTGGGTTTTGAAATAGTCCAAAAAATAGCATTACCGAAGATTCTTTGGACTGTGCACACGTGTCAAAACTACTCCGTCTATGAGCGAGGGCTCACATAGTCTACGGTGCAAGTACAGTCGATGGGATAGAGAGATATGATCTCGTAGAACATCCAAGATAAAAAAAGTTTGCTATATTCGTATGATAAGTCTTCAAGGTAATACGTATCGATCCGAAGTTCGAACCACTGAATAAGCATGTAACGCAAGACTGTAAATAGTATGCTCTTCGAAAGGCTCAAACGTCGTTCGAGGGAGAAAAAAAACTTGCTAGGCAATTCTTTCGAGTGACCATTTGTGTAGCTAGCTTCCGCGGCGGATTCAAGGCGTTCTTTTGTTTGCAAACCTCAGGATTGTCAGGAAACGGCTTTCGTTTAGCTACACGTCAATCCTATCCCGCGCGTTTGAACCCCGTTTTCAAAGCCTTTTCACCACAACTACAAGTAGTTGTATATCCGCGGATTCCCAAAGGCAAAGAAAGATTCGTATATAGTGAGGTAGGTAAGTAGCGCCAACCGATTCGTCTACTTTGTATGATGAAAAAAGGAGATTCGAGAACCTAGCTGAGAGCCTGCAGGTAAACAGGCAGCGCACTGACTAATTATTCCCTGTTCCTTAAGGACTTACGTACTACGTAGTTCTTGACTTGGAGATGAGATATCCGATACCTACGTATACCCTTTTGGAGGGGGTGGCCCGGGTGGCTGGGGGGGCGATTGGTTCCCATTTCATTTATTTCTTTTTTCATGCGTCAAACACTCGAAACCTCTTCGCCGCTGTAAACCGCGCTGTTTCCTTGATGAAATGCTCAGGACATCCGTTGGAGAAGAGGAAGAAGAAAAAGAAGAAAGTCTCTGGATAGGAAGCTGGGGTTCGGATCTCGAGCTGTGCGGAGGGGGCTCGCGATTAGGGCCCAACTCTTCAGTCCCATGTTTCTTTACCCCTGTACTATACCGGTACTGTACAGAAGGCCGCGATCGCACGGGGGCTCGGCATATCGTACCCTGAATCTTAGTGTAGCGCTTGGACTCGCGAAATTACTTGGGTACTCAAGGGGGTGTGCAACGTTGGTTCCAACGCTGGTTTTCCAAATAATCGCCTGGGGTCGCCCTTCTTCTTTACCTCTCTGCAACACAGACTTTTGTATTTCGAATCTAATAATAGTCCTCGCTGTTTGTCATAACTTCCTCATCTAAAAAGATCTGTGCATAGCTCTATTTTGTATCCTTACAAAATCGAGCTGTGCCGCTGCGTAATTATTATATGCCCCACCATGTCTTAAGAAAGGATTGCTTCAGACCCTGAAGCAATGGGACTGGAGAGTCAAGACCTTGGGTTAAGAGGTTAAGGTTAAGGTTACAACACTAGCTGCGTGATTAAGTAAGATCTCTTATTTGCAAAGAATTAGGCCTTTACTTCCTTACTCCGTGTAGAGGTCATCCTTTTATTTATTTACCTTAAACGCTTCCCCATACTCTAAAAAGCGCATCCCAAGCGGCGCTGGTGCTCAGCAGGTATTTCTTTCATTGTGAATGATACTACTACGATGAATGAGCAAGTACAACTACTACTGGTAGGTGGCGGTAATAGTGAGAGTGTTGATTGCTTGAACTGTTGATGCGCTTGGCATTTGTCGTCATTTCATCCATATAGAGCGGTAGCGAAATTCGACGTTCGAGGAAAAAGCAATTCTACTATATTCGAGGCATGGGAAACAACCGCTTTGGGATGCCCCGAGCCAATAGAAGCCGGTAAGGATATGGTGACAGGGGGTCTTTTGATTGTGTTGAAGGGTATTAGAGCTTCAAGAAATTCAAGAGGACGTGGGGAGGTATAAAGGGGAGGTGGGCCCTTCAATTGGTCATGCCCTCTCCATCGATTGTCTTCACTCTCGTTTTTATTTACTCTCGTTTACCAACATGGTTACATTCACTTCTCTCTTTGCTGCCGCGGCAGCTGTTGCCGGTGTCCTTGCCGCGCCGAGTATTGAGGTCGCAGAGAGGGCTCCCAGTGTCCTCATGGAGCGTTCAGGCACTCCCAGCTCCCAAGGAATGCACGACGGTTTCTTCTACTCGTGGTGGACGGACGGCGGCGCTTCTGCCGTCTACGAAAACCTCCCCGGCGGAACATACACGGTGAGCTGGAAAGACGGTGGGAATCTCGTCGGAGGAAAGGGCTACAAGCCCGGAACGCCCAGGTACATAATAGCCCCGATTCGTTCAAAAGCCCACCCAAACAGACATATACTTTCATATTTGAAAAAAAAAAANAAAAAAAAAAAAAAACCGTACGGGCGGACGCAGACTCACCTTCTTTTCCTCCCAGAAATATCACCTACTGCGGCGAATACAATTACGAGGGCAACAGCTACCTCGCCGTCTATGGCTGGACCACGGACCCCCTGATCGAGTACTACATCGTGGAGAACTTCGGAACGTACAACCCCTCCTCGGGAGCGACGAAGAAGGGCACCGTCGAGGCGGACGGCGACATTTACGACATCTACGTGAGCCTCCGGACCGACAAGCCTTCCATCCAGGGCACGGCGACCTTTCAGCAGTACTGGTCGGTCCGCCGCACGAAGCGCACCGGCGGGAACGTCAACACCCAGATTCACTTCGATGCGTGGGCGGATGCGGGGATGAAACTGGGCTCGAATTTCGACTACCAGATCGTGGCTACCGAGGGCTACTTTAGCAGTGGATCTTCCACCATCACCGTCTTTTGAGAGAGGGTTGCTTGCTGAGGCCGTTGCATGTGAGGTGCTTCTTGAACCCGTGTATTTGCATTATCACGGGAATTTGGTAGATACATTTTTTAATAGGGCTGGCTCCCAACAATGCACGATACTTTTGCCTCTCGCTTCTTGTATTAGTTGTCAGCTTGAGCCGGGCAGGTTCAATCCAACGCAATCGTCATGGTGCCTAACTCCAGCCTCGAACTGATTATACCTACGTAGCCAGTAGTACTCGAGATGATCAAGTTCGCTCAAGATAAGATATGCCTGCCCCCCTCCAAGAAAAAAAGGTAAAAGCTAGGACTGACTTACCATGCACCAACAGAGAGACGCAGCGAGCGATAATCACGAATAGCCGAGTCAAAAAAGGGCTCCAAAATCAAGGGGCTGCACAGCAGAACATTTCAGCTCCACCCCTCGCTAAAGATTTTATACATAAAACACTACTTGTCAAAACTATCTTCTGCGGAGTTCCATGACCTCCTTCTCTTGCTGCTTATGGCGCCGGCTCAAAACCTCTTCCCGCCACTCCTGCATCCATTCCAGCACAAACGCCAGCTCCTCCTTCTGCGCATCCCGCACCGGCAATGGCGGCAACAAGTGCGGCGGGTGATTCACCGTCTCATTCGGAAACAGCCCATTCTCATCCCAATGATGGACCGCGCCCGCAATCAGCTTGAACGGCTCACTAATGCTATCCGTCCGATTGAGCGCCGTCGTATTGAAAGGAGATGCGTGGGGAGTGGCCGGTCTCCAGGGATCTTGCTCGCCGTCGATGATGGCTAGGCGTGGGTAGGAGATGTCGAAGCCGCCATACTTGTTGATGGCCTCTACGTCGGGAGGAGTGGTGATGTTGAATGCGTATTTGCAGATCAGTGAGTTGTATTCGAGATCACTGGTGCGAGAGATAAGGGGCAGGGTATCTTCGGGGGATCCAGAACCAGTTTGCAGGTAACCCCACTGAGTGCAATACTGAAAAGGCCAAGATCGCCACTTTTGGTCAATACCGTCCTGAGCGTAGAAGGTCTCGTTGTGCTGACTGAAGTAGGAGTCCTGGTCTCCTTGGCAAGCGTCGACTGTGTAATCGGCAAGCCATCCGATCATGTTCAAAATTGGGGTGGTCAGATTAGCGACCTCGAATTCGTATCCACCGATTTTGATCAGATCTTCCACGGTACCCTTGAGGCCCTCTGGCTGTGAGTAGATGACCTCCTTGGAAGTCAAGTTTCCGCAATACGTGTCAAAGGTACCGTCGTTGAGCTCGGGATCCCAGTTCCTCCCTTGCCACCTATTTATACCATTAGAAAGGACTGCGGCAAAGTCGTTATCGTAGGTGACGTTTGGCAGACCAAAAGCACCCTTGAGAATGCTAGTTGTGTCTGAGTTATTCTTGCCAATAAGGATGTTGTCTACGACGTGAATGATTTTCTGCTGGTATGCAATGCACTCCTGGTCAGCGTAAACACGGACAGGCTCGAAATAAGCCCAATAATCCCAGATAGCTTCCGTCACTCCACTTGAGGAAATGGCACCTGTTTCGACTTAGCTCGAGAACTCCAAGCATAGCGGTAGACATACCCCAAAATACGTCCGGATAGAGCTTCCTCAAGAATGCAACAAAAGCACCAGCATAGCTCCCACCATACGTGATATATGCAACATTTGGTGCCGTAAGGTCCTTGTCTTCCAAGCCAGCAAACACAACATTCTTCGCGAAGTACGCCTGATCCGCCATTGCTTGGTCTGTAGTCAAGAAACGCATTGCCTCCGTACTCAAGTTTGATACTGGCAAACTGGTTCCGTAGTATCGATGCTCAATCACAACTCCGATACCATTCGTAGCCACAGCTAGTTGGTGCAGCAATCCCTTCTGCAGGAACGGCAATCGTCCTACTCCACTTGTCTCTCCAGACTGTAGGATAATCACAGGCCCTCCCTCCTTGTAATAAGTAGCATCGAACCAGTATCGTAGGTCAAACATGCCATCCGAATGTGGCTCGTAGAGGGAGTCATTGTGGAAGTGGTCGATGGGGACGGAGAGATTGTACTCTGGATAGAGAGCAGAGTCTCTATCTTCAGATTTGCTGAGCGACCATGCGGGGATAGTCGTTCTCTGGGAGGTTCAATTAGCCATCATGTCTGTATTCTGGGTAGAAGGTCGACATACCCAGGCCTTGTCCTCAATAGCTCTCATGGGCGCCGCTGCCCACGAGGCAGTTGCAAGCGCCAGCAGCGCGCAGACAGCGTTGAGTTTCTTGACCATCTTGCAACTTTAATTTATCTTCTGCAAGCTATTCAAAGGATCGGTGACTCTGTATAGCAAGTCAGTGCGGCAATTGTTCATGTCCCCACAGGTACCACCTGCAGGGTCCCGCGGATCCTACTCACCTTTAAAGACTCACCTGATAAGGATTCCGACCTCTACGCCAACACCTCTAAAAACAGCTTCGTTGGGTGAAGCATATTATAGCTGCCCACGTTGCCCGGAGTCGTGACCCACCTTCTTGAGCTCCCCCAACAATCATTTTCCTGCCCCAAGCAGAAGGTCGGTTGAGGCGACATGACGCTGTTTTCCAGGGCTTAGCTAAGAGCTTAGCGCCCCTGGGCATGCTTATCTAGGTGCCTGTGCCAAGAGACCTGCTTCTTCGAGTCTGGTGCCCGGATCGGCACTGCAGGCGCCTGGCAGCGGTGAAAATACAGTAGTATTGCAAATGAGTCTCTCATCGAAATTCTCATGATCAACTCCCACATGCGTTGTAATGTGAAAGTCCCCTCAACAAAGTAAGTAAACAGAGCTCTATCACGCCGAGCAACCGGGAAGACAATTTGACAAAGGACACAATAATCTGCGGTATATGATAAAGATCCGATCCATGCTTTCCGAGAACGAATTAGCAAGATAACGCACCAGCGGGAATTTACGTAGTATATCCTCAAAAGCCTCGCTAAACATCAACAATCGCCCGACTCCGACCGTACCCAGCCCCAAATGCAATCCATACCAGCTGGACCAATTTTTCAATCCCACTTTTCTTAAGACTGGTGCACTGCTCCTCCCCATACCCAAGCTGGTCCAGAGTACCTTTCTGCCCGCTTTCAAAAGACGCGGCCTCAAACAGGGCTTTCTCCATCGCTGGTGATTCAACAATGAATGCCTTCGTCCTCTCTATTTCTACCACATTCCCAGAAACCTGCTTCATCAGATCCTTTATTACAAACCCCTTCCTAAGCGGACTGTTCTCCCTTGGTTAGCTAACGGTATACACAGCTTTGAATCTGTCACCGAACTTGCTTTCAAGCTCTTCAAAATCTTTCCCGAAGTAGATATCAGCGTCGGAGTCGACACCACGGGAAGCCTTTGCTTGTTCTCTGGAGGAGGGGATAATGAGGAAGGGGGAGGTGAAATTGCAAACGTTAATGAACAAGAGCCGATATCTCGCTAAAGCACCCCCCAGGTTTGGTGAGGAATCAGGGGTCTGTGTGCCCCACGCGAGCTTGGGCCCCATGATGTCCGTCACCTGACTCTTGGAATGTCAACAACGGCTTTCGACTATCTATCTACAGAATAAAGTACTCATCACCCTTATCACTTCATTCCTATATCTTTTCGCTTCATTCCCATATCTTTTCACTTCATCCTGCAATAGGATCATAACAAACACTTTAAGAGAGCAACGACACGATGCCGTCTCTCCAAACCCTCACCTATTACGCCAGCTCGCTCCTCGCCCAACTCCCCCTCCTCTCTACCAAACCCCCCCAACCACCAGCTTCTTCCATCGACAGCCCTCGACCCTTAACCTCCTACTCACCACCGCCATCCTTCTTCCCCCCGCCCTCTTCGAGCTTCATACACCACTGCCCCATCGACTCCCCAACCTCCTGCCACAACAGCACCGCCTATCCGGACACCTGCTGCTTCGTCTACCCCGGCGGCCAGATCCTGCTAACCCAGTTCTGGGATACGGGGCCCAGCATCGGGCCAGCCGATAGCTGGACTCTGCATGGACTGTGGCCGGATCTGTGCGATGGATCATACCCTACATTCTGCACCGAGGCGCCAATGTACCACAACATCTCCGCGATCCTCGCTGCCGCGGACGAGCGGCAGCAGCGGCGGCCAACGGAGCGCCGCCGCGTGGGGGAAGAAGCCGAAGGCGGCCTGCTGGATTACATGAAGGAGTACTGGCTCCCGAACCGGGGCAGCGCGGACCACTTCTGGGAGCATGAGTGGAACAAACACGGGACCTGCGTGAATACGCTCTCGCCGTCGTGCTTCTCCCCCTCCTCTTCCTCCTCGTCCTCGTCCTCCAGCGTCGAGGAGACCGGAACCGAGACGTATACCCCCGGCGACGAAGTGCACGCCTATTTCTCGCGCGCCGTCGCCCTTTTCCGCACGCTGGACACTTACACTGCGCTCGCGGCCCACGGCATCGTGCCGAGCTGGACGGCGCGATACCGGCGCGCGGACATCCTCGACGCGCTGAGGACGGTAACGGGCCAGGAGGTGGTGATTGGTTGTCGCGGTCGGGTGCTGAATCAGGCGTGGTATAGCTTTAATGTGAAGGGTAGTTTGCAGGAGGGCGAGTTCGTGCCGAGTGCGCCGGTCGGGAAAGCGGGGAGGGGAGGCTGTCCCGAGTGGGGGGTTAGGTACCTACCGAAATAGAGAGAAGGGTGGAGTGGTGGACGGGCGAGGCGAGGATTGAATACATATAACTACTAACCGCCGTCGGTCGGCAGAGTAGCGTTGAGACAAGGGAAGAGTTGGATGACATTGATAAATGGTTATATTCTTAACTTGGATAAACAAACGTCCCTGGAAAGAGATTGAGACACCCAGCTAATTATAAAGCGAGTGAAACCTGAGGATTTCCTGGCTTGATCTTTTTGACATCTATGGATTTGATCTGGTCCTGGGCTCTGAGTCTGAGTCTGACGTAGCTATCGAGGCTAATTGATGGTACCGGTGATGCGAAGAAATAAGGAAATGGACCTGCCATCTAAGAAGCTCGGCTATCTTAATGACCAATCAGATATGTGAAACGAGCGTGAGTGAGAGTGAGCTAGCTTCATTTAAAACATCCATGTGGCGGCCTCGCTTAATGTCGAATATCAATCAATAATCGATAGTCAACAATCGCAATACCAGCGCACACATCGTGAAGTGCTTTCTCCTATTCCCAGACCTACCCTCGATTTAATGTTCAAAGAAAGTAGAGAATGCTGTGAAGACCTTTGGGCCTGTGACCCCTCCAGCCCTCCGGTTCCTGATTTATGCAGCCACAAAATCCCCATCAGTTATACACCCGTGACTCGCGTCACCCACAACCCGCTGGTACTTCGCCAGCGTGCCCTTCGTGTACTTCAACGGCTTCGGCACAAACTCCTTCCGCCGAACAGCCAGCTCGCTCTCCTCGACCATCAAATCCAGCACCCGCTTCTCGGCATCAATCACTATCTCGTCGCCGTCGCGTACCAGTCCCAGCGGTCCGCCTTCCTGAGCCTCGGGAACGATGTGGCCGATCAGAAAGCCGTGGCTTCCGCCGCTAAAACGCCCGTCTGTGATGAGCGCAACGTCGTTGCCGAGGCCGGCTCCCATGATGGCCGATGAGGGCTTCAGCATCTCAGGCATGCCGGGCCCACCCTTGGGACCCTCATAGCGGATCACGACGACGGTCTTCTCGCCCTTCTTGATCTCACCGCGCTCCAGTGCTTCAATGAAGAGGTCTTCGGCATCGTAGCACTTGGCTTTCCCGACGAAGCGCGTGCCTTCCTTGCCGGTAATCTTGCCTACGGAGCCGCCTGGTGCGAGAGAGCCGCGCAGAATCTGGATGTGCCCGGTGGGCTTGATAGGGTTGGAGAAGGGACGGATGATATCCTGGTCCGAGGGGAAGTCGGGGACCTTCTCCAGGTTCTGGGCCAGTGTCTCGCCTGTGACGGTCATGCCGGAGCCGTCGATGACGCCCTCTTTGAGAAGGAATTTGAGCATGGAAGCTGTACCGCCGATTTGGAATAGATCGTGCATGATATACTTTCCGGACGGCTTGAGGTCTGCGAGGAAGGGCGTGCGATCCGATACGGCTTGGAAGTCCTCGATAGTGAGTTTCACACCAACGGAGTCGGCAATGGCGATCAAGTGCAGCACGGCGTTTGTAGAGCCTCCAGTGATGTTTACGACGATCATGGCATTCTCGAAGGCTTTGCGGGTCATGATATCGCGTGGTCGAATATCTTCTTGGAGCAGCTTCTTGATGGCACCACCGGCTGCGAGGCATTCGAGGTATTTGGCCTGGGATTGAGCAGGGTTGGAAGAGGAGCCAGGGAGTGACATGCCCATCACTTCAATGGCCGTAGCCATAGTATTGGCGGTGTACATGCCTCCGCAGGCTCCTTCACCGGGACATGCGTTGTGGATGATGTCGTCTCTGACCTCCTCCGTAATCTCGCCAGTGATGAACTGACCGTAGGCTTGGAAAGCAGAGACAATGTCAATCGGTGCATTGTTCTGTGTTTTTGAGCATCCAGGCTTGATAGAGCCTCCGTAGACCATCAAAGCAGGGCGGTTGACTCTGCCCATAGCCATCATGACACCTGGCATATTCTTGTCGCATCCGGGAATAGAGATATTGGCGTCGTACCATTGCCCACCCATCACAGTCTCGATACTGTCTGCAATCAAGTCTCTCGATTGCAAGGAATACCGCATACCCTTTGTCCCCATAGACATGCCGTCCGAGACTCCGATGGTGTTGAATTGGTATCCGACCAAGCCCGCCCTTTCTACGCCCTCCTTCACGCGGTGGTTGAGATCCAGGAGGTGCATGTTGCACGGGTTCCCGGTGTACCATACCGAAGAGATTCCAACCTGGGCTTTGTTCCTCCTCTCGTCTGTGAGGCCGGTCGCGTAGAGCATGGCCTGGGAAGCTCCTTGGGATTTCGGCTGGGTAATGGTAGCGGAGACCTTATTGAGTTTTGGCTCGTCATCGTGGGAGGATCTTCGAGAGGAGGATGTTGAGATTGAGCGGCTGTGCGAATATTAGGAGGGAATTCAGGTGGGAAAGGTATTCCTACATATATCGTGAAGTTATTCTGGATGTTGTGATGAATGAGACATTCGCCCTTGTCCGTAGCTGTGGGAGCAACATCTTGGCCATGCGGTTCAATGACGTCGCTCTCCTTTTCCCTTGTGCCCGTATGCCGAGGTATGCTTTCAAATGATGCGATGCAGTCCCAGCTTTCGCTTCCGACCGGCAATGTAACGTCTTTAGCTCAGACGTAGGACGTTGGGTCGAGGGTATAAGAGGAGAGGTTTTAGGGGAATCAAAATTTTTGTCTTTGACTTTTGGTCTTCGAGCTCGCATCAGCGTCAACAGATGGACCCATAATTCCATGACCCATTGACCACTCAGCATCTGAGACTTAGTAATTATTAGCGCCGCTACCGAGGCTGCCTTATGTAAGATGCCAATATCAGGACCAAGAACTGATCTGAGCGGGATCGGGAGCCAGGCGCTGCTTGACCTGCTACCGGTAGACCCAAGCGGGGTGAAGCGAGGAAGTGGGGAGGAAAGTCGAGATGTGCATGTGCAACTCACTCTTCCTCCTCGGCTGGCTGGCTGGCTGGCTGGCTGGCTGGCTGACTGACTATCTTCTCTGAAGGGCCAGAGTTGTCCGAGACTTCAGTGACAGACTACATAAACCCATTGCATTCCCTATTCTTGGGATTTCATAAAACCAAAGTCCGCCCATCCATCCATCCATCCATCTGTCTGTCTATTCAAGCATCGCTTCGCAAGTCAACCAAACAAACCAGCTTCGCCGAACCAATCCAGCTCCATCACAAGATCCCCAAACACCATGGCCGCTCCCGCCGAAGTCACGCTCAAGGACCTCTCGGGTCAGTGGGTTATGGTCAGTCGCTAGCTCTCTCACTCGCCCCCTTCTTTGGGCATATCGATTAACCCGACTAACATTTCTCCAGAACAAAACCCTCTCGGACGACCCCGACGAGGTCCTCGCCTTGCAAGGCATGGGCTGGTTGACCCGCAAAGCAATTGCCATCGCAACCCTCACGCTGCACGCCAAGCAGTACACCGACGACGTACATAACCAATCTCAGTCCTCACACCTCCCTCTATGCCCACTCAAAGAGCAATAACCCAGCTAACCATTTTCCTCTCCCTGTCCAGGCCTCCATCGTCCATATCGACATCGATCAAACCACCACCGGCGGCATCAAAGGCACTACAGAGCTCCGAACCCTCGACTGGACGGAGCGCACGCACGAGGATCACGTCTTCGGCATGTTGATGGGCCGCAACCGCTGGTCCTCGTTCCAAGAGATCGACGACGCGTACCTGAAGGAGGGTTGGCTGGAGGGTGATGAGGAGAAGGCCGGCCCGGACGGAGAGCGGCACGTCGAGAGCTTCGTGCGGAATGAGAAGAATGGGTGGAAAGCACAACAGATCTGGGGTTTTGCCATCGTGGAGGGCAAGAGATATCATACGAGACGGGTTGTGGTTACTAAGGGGGATAAGGTCTTGAAGATTAGATTGGTTTATGATTGGCAGGGAAAGTAATAGATGGATATATTACACTAGGATATTACACTAGGAGAGAAGGTCGGGGGAGAGGCCATGAGTTCTGGAGCGCTTGGTATGACAAAAGGGACAAGGGCAAACGAAGTCCTGGATAGGCATGTAAGAAGGTTGTTAATAGAAACGATAATGTATTTCCTCGTCATTCGCTTCGAAAGATATCTGATGTGTTTACCAAAGGTAGACAGATATGTACCGTGTGTCTGTTTAGATAGCGTTCGACCTCGAAGGTTTGCGACGAAGTTCCCAGGTATCCTTTCGTTGTATGTGAGTGCCATGTTTAAACCCCGAATACAGACGGTAAAAGTAATAGTAGAAATATATGGCGGGTAGAAGCCTAGGTATAATGCATAATTTGGCTCGAGGCTCTGATGTTCAAGGATCTGAGATTTGAAGGGACCTGCCACTCCGTATGCCAAGAATGGTCGAAGAGCAGGCCTGCAGCAGACCCAGTATAGGCGTGGCATTTAGGCTGCGATGGATGACAGGACATGTGCTCATAATCCTTCGGGTGTAGTGCTGCTCTGAATTTGCTGTCGCGATTTCTGATCAGACGTACCTGAAGCGAGCACTCGTTCTCGTATTGCACCACCTTTTCCTGGAAGCCTAGCAGCTCTCCATCGCGACCATGTCCGATCTTCAACCATCGTGGACATTTGCAGCGCCACAATAGTCAGGTCGAGAGATATGTATAAGCAGACGAGAGCAGTGGAAGTGGTCTGAACGCACAGGAGAGCAGGCTTCAGAAGACTTGCAGTCTCGTTGATAACAAGATGTGCCACTGCATCGGCGTCGAGTCAGGGCAAAGTGATCTGCATGGAATCCTTCGAGAGCTGATTGGTTTGAGAGGGTACATTTGGTGACTATCGAGGGGAAGGATGGAAGAGGGCGTAGGTATATATAGGTAGATATGTGTACGATGTGATAAGTATTCGCAGTCGAGAGGGCGCGGTCGCGTCGTACTCCCAAAAGGCCTGACGATGCCAACACGGACAATGGATCAAGTGGAGCGGCTCAGGGATAACTTGGCGTGTTGCCGGGGCCCACATCTTTGTCATGAATATATATTCCAGGAGGTTCGCGTTGATCGGTGTCGTGGCAGGAGTGCTCCGGCGCGTCGCGTCGCGTTGATCGAGATTAGATTTGTTTTGGCTCGGCCCTTTAGTTGGAGTTTGATGTTTGAAATGAATATGAACTGACCAATCATGCAGAGAAAACCCCGGTAGCCTGAACAAAGATGACGCTAAACCGTATTTGGTCTTGAACACCCAAATCCCAGATCACAGCCCGCCGGCCCGCGCAAGTACTTAACCAGCCCTTCGCCCCGCCCTTCTCTTCAACACCCGTTACACTCCATCATCATCTCCATCCCAAAACAACTTCGACGACGCGTTATTTCATCACCATCAACACCTTCTACATCGTCACTCACCCACAAACACCTTCATCATGACTGGACGTGAGTATTCTCTCCCTCGTCGCGTGTGCTGAGTTTATCATCATCGTCGCCTCATCGTTGATTCCCGTCGCGGTTTCGGTGATTGATTCTCCATGCTTCGCGCTGTCGCTCCTTTACTGCAGATGATTGCTGCCGCACATCACCATTCTATTATCATCATCGCGCCTGAACCTCAAACATACTGACATGTCACAGGCGGAAAGGGCGGAAAGGGTCTCGGCAAGGGCGGAGCCAAGCGTCACCGCAAGATTCTTCGTGACAACATCCAAGGTATCACAAAGCCTGCTATCAGACGTCTTGCGCGTCGTGGTGGTGTCAAGCGTATTTCTGCCAGTGAGTTTATCCTTTCGATACGGTCTGCCCTACAGTCGCTAACAGCTTCCAGTGATCTACGAGGAGACCCGTGGTGTTCTGAAGACTTTCCTCGAGGGTGTCATTCGCGATGCTGTCACCTACACGTAGGATACCTTCCCTTCACTGTGTATGATTTTTGTGCTGATCATCGAATAGTGAGCACGCAAAGAGAAAGACGGTCACATCCCTGGATGTCGTCTACGCCCTCAAGCGTCAAGGCCGTACCCTCTACGGTTTCGGTGGTTAAGCACCTTAACATTTCTTCTACATCTTCACCTCCTCCCCTTCGATCATCACCCTCGGATACGTCTGTCGACTGGCACATTTGGGCATATGATACTTCTGATAGTCTTTCGAGACGGTCTAGCATGCTGTTTACGGCAGGGTTTCGCTCATCACTCCATATCGGCGTTCCTCATCCGACTTCGAAAGGATTCAATCTGATTCCTTCCTACCTCTGCATACCTTTTGATAGTCTTCGGACGGTCTAGCAGCTTGTTTACGAGCGGGGTGGCTCTGGTGTTCTGGTTGGGACTTGGCTCGCAGGTTGGACTGGCAGGTATTGATAGGAGGTTTCTTTTTCCAGCGCCTTCTACATTTGCTGTTGGTTTGAGGAGTTTGGGTCGATTCTCAAGGTCTGGACGGCGCTCCAGGAGGTTTGCGATGAGCGCCTTGCGTTGTGCATATGAATAATTGGCCCTAGGCCCGACTGATACCATGTGTTTCCGTTTTCCTACAAATTGGTGAAGTGCCCCTTGGTGCATATTGACCTTCTCTTGATATCGAGACGCGACGTATTGATCCAACCCTTCCAGTTGCGGTTGCACCATCGGAATGGGTGCCTAACAAGAGCACACATACTCTACAACATGGAGTATATCAATACAGATTTTATTTCGTGACAGCCCACTATACTTACTCATCCATCCACACATCCTGTCCTTTCCAAAAGTACCCAGCCGCTCCAATATACATCGAGCTTTCAAGTCTATAGCTATCCCGTTTATATTTCATCTTCCAATCTTCTCATAGTTGCATTCTGGTTTCTGTTTTAGATGTAGATGTATACGTAGATGTAAAGTGAGAGACGTTCGGAACTTGTCTGGTTTGTCCCTCACGCTCATCTATCTAACCCAGCCTGTTTTAGAAGGGATACTGCCTAGTGATAAAGTTGCTGGCGTCGTTTTGACAGAGGACATGCGTTAGGCTCAGGAGTAGAGTTACCGAGGACTGTAGAGTGAAAGGTAACGTTCTTAAACATTTGCATTGGGGATCTGCAAGGAATGCTATCGCTGCTCGTACTCCGTAACCACGAGGCGGTGGTATCTCTAAACAAAAAGGTCATCATACATCGTCATTCCGTTTACTTTCTCCTCCTTGACCATGCGTCCACGAACGCCACTTTGTCCTTCAGAGTCAGTCCTACTCTCTTGACTCTACCGAGTCGCGCTAAGGCTTCTCCCAATTTATCCAGCACCTTCTTCTCGTCTGCGTTCATTTCTTCTTGCTGTTCACCGACACTCACCAACGTATCTGTACTACTCATTATGGTGGAATCTTCTCCTAGCGTGTCCAAGAAATTAGTCAGGTAGCGATCACGATTATCGGTCGCTTCGTCGGTGGGTTTGGATGTATTGTAAACAACTTCCGCGATGCGGACTCGGATACAGTGTGTCGGCTGCGAAAGGAGGTTCCATATAAACGCCCAGTACTGTCTCGGTACGGGCGTCGTGATGTCCGGAGGCGAGTATCGAAGACTGATGGGGAAGATCTTGGTTCTTGAGGGCGTAGTCAGCAGACTTGGACTGAACGGGAGTATTCCCTTTCCGTTTGTTGTCGTACATTCTGGGAAGACCACGATCACTCTCTTCGGATGCTCCGCAACCAAGGTCTTCAAATCCGTCATCTTGGCGCCCTCCGGTGGGAACTCATGTGGTCGTGAGAGGGCTCTCAGGATTGCGCCAAGCAGCGAGACATACTGCACTTGTCGGGTGTGCGGATAGGAGATAGTGAAGATGGGATCAAAGATGGCGGCTAAATACAGCGAGTCGATGGGAGAGGTGAACGAAGATGCGATGATATCCGCCGGCTGGGGCACACGACCCTCGTGCTTCTTCGCCAGCGAGCCCTTCTTGACGCCGTCGATCTGCAGGTCAATCCACCATATACCCGGTATGCCCAGGATCATCCAGAGGAAGGCCTTCTTGAATAGTGAGCCGAGGGGGAACCACTGCAGGAACAGAAAGTAGGTTGCGGCGACGGTGACAAAGAAGGGCAGCTTGAAGAGGAACAGGAAGACGTGGGCGGGAAAGTAGATGCCGGCGGGCGTGGAGGCGACGGGGAAGAAGGGAGCGATTCCAGATCCTACACGTGCGTTCGTGCATGAGTATATATGTATGTATGTAGGTAGGATACTTATACCCTGCGCATGCGGAACTGGGACTGGGGCTGGGATGGGATGGGCACGGGGACTTGCCTCGATCACGGAACTGGGAGTATTTCTCCATACTGGAGGGATGTTGGCGTTGGTATTGGTGTTGGTGTTGGTGTTGATATTGAAGCTTTTGTTTTGATTCGGTTTGGTATGATTTGTGATGTTTGCGCTGGACAAAGGGTATGCGGCGGAAGACTAGAGAGAGGTTTGGCTGGCTGGCTGTTTATCTATCTATGGTCGTCGCATGGCCGGGACATCTGGTTTGTGTTGGGAAAAAGAAATCGGAAAGTTGGAGTCAAATAGTCCAAATCAAATAACGGTGAGCAGTTGCTGCTTGCATTGCATTATTGCCCGGGTAGCTGTAAGGGAATTTGTTGTTTGGAGCTTAGCATGTGAACGTGAAGGGACTCAGGAGTGATGGATGGGCTGGTGGTGGGTTGGTGGTTGGTGGATGGAATGGAACGGAATTACTTTATCGCGGGGGCTAGCAGTGACAGTGTCTAGGGAGGTCAGCTGATCTGATCAGCATCAGCCACTACGAGCCACACCCACCGCCACGGCCACAGCCAAAACCACAGCCACAGCGTTACCCTGTCCCCAGTGTGAATATCAACACTGCGAAAAGTAAACAAGCCCTCCCGCCCACTTGACGAAGATTTGCCCACCTCAATCCCATCCTCCTCTTCCTCCTCCTCCTCCACCTCCACATCGCCCTCCGCTATCCATAGCTATCTATAGCTGGTTACCTACCTACCTACTTACCTAGCCTGCATCGCCATTGCTCCATCACAACCATCACCGCGGCCATCATACATGCCGTGAATTCCATCAATCGCGACTGCGACGCCGCTCTGCATCATGGAATACACCGAAGAGAACGCGGTATGATGCAACACCACAACACACGTTCCATCCACACACTTTGCATGCACACTGATTGACTGACGAATGTCCCAAGCAGCAGCGGAGATCTCAATTGAAGCAGCCCAGTCGAATCCCACACATCGGTCTCGCTGAGATCTCCGAGTCGCAAGGCAATGCGCGAGCAGTATCGTCCAAGTTGGCTCAGCCCACACTGAAGCACAGACTGGGGGGAGTCTACGAGCCTGAGCCGAAGCGAAAAACTCTGGCAGAGAAGGCAGGAGAGTTCCCCAAGCCGTCGGTCGCAGCTCCAACTGTGAGACCTCTGGTAAAGACAACAAGCTTAGCTGGCGCGGGAGTAAGTTATTTCTTTTGATATCACATATCCCCCACTCCTCCCAATGGACCAGAATGCCGTCTTCAAACACGCAAGTCCCGATTCCTGGCGCCAGGGTTGCCTTGCTGGAATACGACCACCGGGCTTTCTCTGCAGGCCTCCACGCGTGGTGCCTCGCATTGGGCAGTCCATATCTACGGCATCTGCAGAGAAATGGTCAACGAAGATACACTTGCCCTTGATTACAGCACGGCGCCGTGGACGCAGAGCTTATGTTCAATTCATCGAGCGGCTTCATTGGCGGCTTCCCAGGCGACTTAGATTATCCCACGACATCGAGCACGAATTGAACACTGTGACTGTCATGCAAGAATTTCCAAGGTATCGCACTAACGTCAGTCGCAGAGGTCGATACACAATCGCAACCCTTCGAACTCGTCCTCTTCATTCACATCACGAACACCCTCCGCCGCCTCCTCCCGAAACACATCAAATGGCAGCTTCTCGAGTAGTGTTGGCCCTAATGGTCGGCCGAAATCATCCTACGCCGGTGGCCGATCAAATTTCAGTCAGTCTACACGAGCTGCAACCGTCCTCCCTCGGTCTACAACATCCATGGATGTCCACTCTTCCGAGGACGATACCTCTTCTCACGAAAGCCGCCAGGGTACGAAGATTTTAACCACTATACCTTCTTTCGTTCAGTCTCCCCAAGTACATGCAAGCCTCCTGATGAGGAAGCTAAGACAGCCACAACCCACGCAAGCATTGAGACATGCCGAGTCTTCTGCAAATATCCGGGACGTCTCTGTCAGCACGGCCTTGAGTAGGCTATGTATCGACGGTGAAGTCAAGTCCAAGGATATGTCTGAGTATCAAGCGAACTCTACCAGAATGAGGCCTCCAAAGCGGCTAGGTCTTGGCCACAAGTCTTCGATACGGGGGTTGAGAATCGACAGTACCGAGAATGCCCTGATGCTTTTCCAGCCTCTGGAAGAGAGCTCAGAGGCTCCGGTGTCGCCTTCTCATATCCCTAAACTCTCAAGATCAGACCCATTCATGGACCCTGTTACTCCTCGCAGAACCCCCAAACCTTCTCCCCAAAAGACTCCATTTTTGACAAAAGATTCTAATGTGCCTGGCTTTACAGCGTGGGATGTAGATGATCGCGTTGCCCGCATGGAGGGAATGGTCTCCGGAATATTCTCCGAGATTGAGCAAAGGGTCTCAAAAACGACATTGGAAAAGAACGCTTTCGAAGAGGCTGTAACACTTTTCAAGGCAAGAAGTAAGTCGTCTAGGTATTGCGTGGATTGCCTCGACCAAGTGCTAATCGCATTTGCATTCCAGTTGCTGAACTTGAACTCGTCCGAACAGAACTGTCGTCCTCCAACGCCTCTCTCCAAGGCGACCTCAATGAAATGAGATCGAAGGTGGACTCGCTCCACCAGGATCTACTTGCTGCCAACGCCAGTCTTAGCGAGCAGCTGAGAGCCCATCGCATTGAGCTGGATGACGCGAACCGGGAGAGTCGAATCACGCTGGACCAGATGAAACGGGAAAAGACGGACGAGATCGATAGCTTACTGCGGGCGCACAGAGACCAAATGCGCGAAATGGAGCACCGAGCTACTGTGGAAGTCGATGATAAAATCCGGGAGATGGAGCGGCGAAACAATTCCACTCTCGAAGAGGAGAGGAGTCGGAGGCTCCGTGAAGTGCAGGACTTGGAATCAAGAATCACATCCGAAAGTCTCAATCTGGAACTGGAGCTGAAAAAGAAGGATCGGGAGATTCAAAATATGAGAGGCGAGCTTGAGGATGTTAAAGCAGAGTTGGACCGGGAGCAAGCCCTGAAGGACAGCGCTCACGGTGAGGTCGCGATAATGAAGGAGACGCTCCTGAAGACCGGCATCGAATCGGCGTCGGCAATCCATACTCTAGAGAGTACCGTGGCAAGTCTCCGGGCCCGGATACACTTCCTCGAATCTGGGTCCAAGGCACAGTCCGACAGCTTCGTTGAGATGGAGAGAAGACTCCAGGAGGCCTTGGACTCGGCCGAGGAATCGAAGAAGAAGCTAATCAAGGAAGAGACTCTACGTCGCATTCTTTTCAATCAAGTGCAGGAGCTGAAGGGAAACATCCGAGTCATGTGCCGAGTCCGACCAGTATCCAGCAACGGGGCCGACGAAGGATCAGCAGCCAAGATTACTTACCCCGATGTTGAAAAGGAATCAAAGGAGCTTGAGATAATTGGGAAAGAGGAGAGGAGCAGTCTAGGAACCATTACGAGGAAAAACCATTCGTTTACATTCGACCGAGTGTTTGGACCAGAAAGTCAGAACCAGGAGGTCTTCGAAGAGATTTCACAGCTTGTCCAAAGTGCTTTGGATGGGTATAACGTCTGCATATTCTGCTATGGCCAAACGGGATCTGGGAAGACCCACACAATGTCGTCGGCTGATGGTATGATTCCTCGAGCTACCCATCAAATATACGAAACGGCGACAAATCTCAAGGGGAAGGGATGGACGTACACCATGGAGGGCAGTTTCGTAGAAGTCTACAACGAGGAAATTCATGATCTTTTGGGGAGCTCGAAGGACTTCGACAAGAAAAAGCACGAGATTCGGCACGACGACCAGAAAAAGCAGACCACCATCACGGGTCTGAAGATTGTACCTCTGGATTCTCCGAACGCTGTCGAAGCACTGCTCAAGCAGGCCGACAACAACAGAAGTGTTGCTGCCACTAAATCTAACGAGAGATCATCACGTTCTCATTCTGTCTTCATCCTCAAGCTCGTCGGGCGGAACAGTACGACCAATGAGACGTCCGAAGGTACACTCAATCTTGTCGATCTGGCCGGCTCGGAGAGACTCAAGCAATCAGGGGCAGAGGGCGACAGGATGAAGGAGACGCAGAACATCAACAAAAGTTTGAGCTGTCTTGGGGATGTCATTGGAGCTTTGGGTCAAGGCAAGGAGGGTGCTCATATTCCGTATAGGAACTCCAAGGTATGTGATCCCAAAAGCGGTGAACCATTCACATACTAACTATCCTAGTTGACATACCTGCTTCAATATTCCTTGGGAGGTAATTCAAAGACACTCATGTTTGTGATGGCTAGTCCGCTGGAAGCTCATCTGAGCGAGACACTTACGAGTCTGAAGTTTGCTACCAAGGTATGCCGTAGCTCACTCCCTTTCCGCGAAGCTCATGCTAATTCTCTTCAGGTACATAATACCCATATCGGTACAGCGAAAAAGTCGACGAAGGTCCGAGAACGCAGCAGCGATTGATAGGAAGCGATTTGGCCTTGTCTTTTCTTTTCTTCTTAGATTTGGCGTCCGAGCATTGGGAAAGGGGTCAATCCTGCTCACATATCACTACTTGTGGGTTCTTGGAGTTGTTTCGGAGTTTTGTTGGATTCTGTCCTCTCGAGACAATAAAGGATACTTGCCTATGTTGTATACATAGGTCGGGTTAGTGAGTGTTGGATCAGTGATTGGCTGATGCTGATTGAGAAAATGGAAGAGAGGTGCTACGATAACGATGAAGTAGAGATGATTGCTCAAATCTTCTGTAGCCAATGTCGGGTAAGTGAGAGAGTGTTTCCATTCCCTCTTCCACGATACCGACCAATCCAGCAATCGATATATCAATATATCTATCTACGAAGCTGCCGAGCCATTCAGAGCAGCATAGGGTAAAGTACTCTCAATGCGACTTGTCTTAACTCCTGAAACGTTTCGACGCCAATCCCCAACCCTCGAGTGCATAAGATGGAGAGGAAAGGAGGAGGAGACAAAGGCCCGAGCTCGGCCCGCCTAATGATTGATTAATGGACTGATTGACTGACTGATCAACTGTTCTTGGCGTGGATGGATGGATGGATGGATGGATACAAAGAGCGCAGAGTAGCGCAGCGTATTACAAGTCGCTATAGTGAGTGAGATTTGAGAGAGAGAGAGAGAGAGAGAGAGAGAGAGAGAAAAAAAGAAGAAGCTTGGAAGATGGAAGATGGAAGGGGATTGTTGTTATAGTCTTGTTTGAGTGATTTTTGGGATTGGGAAAGGGTGGATTGGATTGATAATAAATAGATGGATAGATGAATGAATTAGTGGATGGATGTGATGAGGTGGGTATAGTGGAGGTGATGTTGAGTTGTTATACGAGGGGGGGGGGGGGGAGGGGAGGGGATGCTGTGAATTGGTGCGGCACGATGAAAAATGATGGGAGGGGGAGGAGGAGGAGGAGGAGGAAGAAGAGCAGAGAGGAGATTTCGGGGATTGAATGGGAGGGAATTCAGTTGAATTGAGTTGAATTGAAAGCTTGTTTATAGAGTTAATTATATCTCTATCTTATCACATATAGGTGATTGATTCGATAATGGTAAAGAAAATGTTGATTGTCATTTGAGCTCCCGTTCCTCTCCTTCTTAGCTGTTCGTTCATCCCTTCTCGTTTGGGCCAGAATCTCATCCAGGCAATCGACAAGGATCACCTCGACGGTGCTGGTATCCACGTCCCAGAGCTCCCTCGCCATCCGTTCACAGTCGCGCTGCCGAAAATTAGCAAGGTCTGAAAAGTCGCAATGGAGTTCACGCTTCAGCTCGATCTCCCTGGAGACCAGCAGGGGTAGGCGGGGTTGAAGTACTATTTACCTTTTCGGCTAGGCCCCCCTTACATAATCAGACCTTTTGCTTACTTGTTAGACGGGCGATGAAAAGTGCTAGGAATATCATTCTCTCTTTATACGTGATCTATCATTCTCAGGTCATCATTATACCTTCTCATATCTGCCTGGCCACTTTGAAAAAGATTGGAATATTTAAGATGCACCTCAGACGTGCGTGAACGACCCGTAATCAATAACTTCTGGGCATGATGTTATTCAATGAAAAGGAGCGCATTTTTCTACTGGACAGTACTCAAACTAAGATTTCTTATAAATCAAATTAGCCATGATCTACTTTAAGCATGCCTAATAGTATAACGATACACTAAATGCAGACTTGTAACCGAGCCTGGTGTCAATCCTCGCATGGTCGTTCAGATTAAAAATTGCAGACCGTTTTACAAGACTTGAAAACAGATAATAAGGTTGTGAGAGTTTCTTTATGATGAGAAAAGTTGTTGAAAAATGAATACCAGATGTGAGTCGTGTCGCAGCGCTAAGCTTGAATAGTCTTCGGCTATTACCTTTGCATCGAGACCCTTCGCATAAGCCTTCCATGTTCTTTGATGTTCCATATTCTTTGTCTTTTTTTTCTTTTTTTTTGAGAAGCGGCTTTGATGAAATAGTCGTAGGAATTTCCAATTCTAAGAGCCATCGCATGCAGAACAGTCCTATTCTCTACCTCTAAGCATCAAAGTGATACTGCTGGTGCTTGAACCAGATGGCTAGAAGAACCGCGAAGTTTTCGATTCTCGATATTGTATCTCATTGCTATGCTATTGAATGATCTCGAGTTTCTTTTCGATTGATGTTTCTAGCTGGTTGTATAAACAAAGACCTTTGCAAACTAAGCGAGCCTCGACATTCCTCGGCCGTATCTAGACAAAGACAGGTAGGTCATCAACTCCAGCACATCATTCATTTTCCTGACCCACATCAGATCCATAACCTTTTTGAACTTATCCCCGAGGCCAGGTTGCAAGTATAATTTTCTTCGAAAAAAAAATGCGCATTGGTTTCCTCGCCGTTTCTCTCCTTGCTGCAGGAAGAGCGGCAGCGGTTAACGAGTTCAATGTGAACTTCCCAACTTCCTTCTCTTTCAACACGACAACGAAATTCTTCTGGGGAGATGGTCAAGGGACGGATCTTACAGGATTGCTCGTAGTAGGAGATACCAATCCCGCAGTGTCATACTCACTTCCTCGTATGTCCGACCACCAGCTCCCGCTATTTTCCGCACATCGAGGCTAACTATATGATATAGTGGACTCCTCAGCATGTAAAAAGGCCACCATCGTCGGCGGAGTGCAGGACTGCGTCCAATTTGCAAATAACGGTACTGCATCATTTGGCGGGCCCTACGCCGCCAATCTCGTCCTGGGGAACAAATACCACCTAGTGCTTCAATACACATCCTCGGATCTATCCTCAGCAGGAACCTCAAACTCGCCGGTATTCACGATGATCAACCCGATCGTATCAGTACCGTCAACTGCGAAGTCCACGTCCTCAAAACCATCTTCTACTAAGCCGAGCTCAGCAACGCTATCCAAAGCAAGCTCCTCCATCGTGCGTCCATCGAGCTCGGGTCGCCTGAGCAGCAGCCCGACAACGTCTCGAACATCAAGAGCAACAACATCCTCAAGTCCTCTGGCATCGACGACGACATCCGCCTCTCCACCAGCATCGTCCACGACACAAGACGGCGAAGGACTTACTCCAGGCGCGAAAGCCGGTATCGCCATTGGCGTTCTCGCAATGTCAGCTCTCGCCTCCGTCGCAGCGTATTTTCTGTATCGACGTCGCCGAGCCAGCAAGAAGAAGAAGGAAGAAGAGGCTCGACGCCGGGATACGACAGGGACTAATTTCCAAGACATCGATATCCAACTGGGGAGTCCTGTGAGTCGCTATGAAGGTGGAGCGGGATGGAAGAAGAAGAGGGGGACGCCACAGGCTGTAGGAAATGCACCGCAACCGTGGGGTCGGGAGAGTGTAGGGCTGCAAGGACAGGGAACGCCTTTTTGAGATGAGAGTTGAGGCGTTGAGGGCTTGTTAGCTTTGAGAGTCGATAGTTTGAGATTGAAATTACAGTTGAAACCGTGAAAATATCACTGGGGAGTATAACGGAAAGTATAAGGTGGCTTGTATTGCATCACGGCTTCTCGTGTTCCTTCATCTCCGCCTCGCTTGACTATAAACAGAGGAGCACGACGAGTAACCGCAGGATGATGGGCACTTTAAGGCAGCATATCTTGAGACTTCTATTACATAGAGCAAATTGACAACCAAAGCGACTATTTTTTTCACCAAAGTAAAAGCTTGAAGGATATAAGAGATCCGAACCGAACGCTCATATTTTCTTTTACCTGTTATGTATGTATAAGCGAATAAATATGTTAATTACATACATCAACCGACGAACGACGCGATGGCTCAAGGGCCTAGCTTCCACGAGCCTCCCACTGACCCATCCCTTCGTCCGCCAGTTGCACGCCATTCTCCCCCCTCTCCCTTCACCGAAAAGCCCATTCGGTTAGGTTTGTAAATGAGAACCTCGCAACGTCCCTTTTGTGGTGATCTTTCAGATGGATTTTGCTCCCTTTTCTCAGCCGGGCAATATCCCACTGCGCCCGGCTCCAAATATTCCATCTGGTGATGCTTGGGCGGGTGGGCGTGCAGTGATCTGCGGATAAAATCTGGCAAGGGGGTCCATCCAGATCCAAATAAGCGGATTGCGAGCTGGAAGTATTAGCATGAACTTCGCTTGCAGGAGAAAGGTCTGGTAATTGGCAGGTGCACCGCAAGACGGATTGAGAGGTGTGCTCAATGGAAATGGAAGGAGAGCGATATGGAATGCGATATATAAACCAGAGGAAAGTTAGACATCGGCATCAACGGAAATGGGATATCAACGGCGGGAAAAACTCCGCGGGATGTTTCGATAAAAATTCGTTCTATAAAGCAAGAATACAACAATAATCTTTAGTGCCCCCCTGCATCTGATTCAAATATGAATTTGATCGATTAGATATAGAAACATTACATTAATAACAATCCATCGGTTTTCGAAAAACTGAAAGGATAGAGCGTTCTCTTTCGGGATTACTAGAAAAATCGAATGCCCACTTCACTGTAAGTAAATTAACAACTGTACAAGTTAAACAGTCGATTGATAAGGAACCAAGCAAGCTACCAGGGCTGATCAAAGTGCAAGAGAGACCAAGGACAAAAGGGACAACAGAAATTACATCAGCATAATAAAAAACTAGCCTAGCCACCATCCTTACGAGGGCTCGAAATATAGCCAGCGCCCGGCTACATCGGCCCGCAAATTGAAACCAAAAAAAAAAGAAGAAAAAAAAAGGAAAACCTCAGCCCGACCATCAATTTAAAACCATGCCAACTCTCCCCATCGCAAGAACCCGATGCAAGTTTGATCGAACGATAATACTCCGTAGCCGCACTGCATAGAAAAATGCGGACCTTGCTTTGACAGCTGCTGCATCCCTCAAATCATCCAGCCCGCCCGGCCGCAAGTCATGAGATGAGGCCTCGGCGAGGATTCTCGTACGATTGTTCATGATTCACGCTCCACCCGCTTGCCAAGCCAAGTCAACTGCTCTAGTCCGAGTTCTTCAACTTGTTGTTAGCAGGGCGGCACACTCGGCCCAGTGCTCGACGGACAGTAGGCAAGTAGGTAGTCTGTCTACTTAGTGTGGTCTTTTCCCCACGATTTGCTGATCGGACTAATCGGGATCGGCTTTGCTAATTCGGAAGATCGGCACGGTTGCGGCAGCTTTGATAGCCTCGGGCTGGGCTGGGCTGGGCTGGGCTGGGCTGAGTTAATCACAGCTGGGCTCTGCAAAGGAAAATCACAAAGGCCGGTTTGACTCCGTGTAGAGCGGTGCAAGATCACTGACCGGACGTGACGAGAGAGAGGTGTTTTGAACTTTACGCATCTCTTGGAAGCAGAAGCAAAGCCTAGGCAGGACCAGGATTCCGTCGATAGACTTTATGATTTGCACCAGGGCTTGAAGGGTGATGATTCGCTCGAAGCTTATTTGAATGTACTTCGTGTACAGTACAGTAGTACTACTAGTAGTACTACTAGTACTTACTAGTATGTCGCTAGCTGTTCTGTCTGTCCGTGCTGCAGGTATGGGAAAAGGGGCTCACAACAGGGGTGGAGGGGGGGTCTTCTAACCGAGAGATTCGTCTAGTGATTGTTTACTCCGTAAGGAGGCGCGCACTTGTGCTATATCCGCAAAAGCAAAAGCAAAACACACAAAAAAAAAAGCCACAACAAGAACGGAGCCCCAACGCTCGGAATAATGTCAGCACGGTTGCCATCCTCGTAAGGCTGATTGATTTGTCGTTACGTAACAGAGGCAGGCCGAGCCTGACCGTTGGTCCGCGGAGGTCCATACCTACCTACACATCATGCAGATTCCAGACCGATTAACCGAGCGAGCCCCTGACCCCCCCCTTTTTTTTTCCCCCAGCCGACTATGACCATGACCATGACCATGACCATGATTCATCCATCCTCTTTCAACTCAAAAATCATACTCCGTAATCCATCTGAACTACTTCGTGTCCTGAGCAAGAAAACGCCAGCGCCAGCGCTGATTTTAATAATAGCGCCAGCGATCGACCCTCGGTAATCGGTAATTCTTAACAGCTCTAGCCTAGTCGCGCCTTCCCCCACCTTCTTTACCCGGCCTTTCATCTGTCAAGAAGGAGAAAAGTCTCGGACAAAAATGCCGGCAGGAGCAAATTTGGAATATGAGACAGACTCTATTGAATTGAGGAATGAAGAGCGGAGGCTGCCTCCGTGCAGGGACGAGTTGAGTGGGCTTTGCGCTTGGTGGGGCAAGAAGGTGGTTTCGGTTGTTTGGGTTTTTTTTTTTTTTTTTTTTGTCTCTTTCAAGCGTTCGGGCCATATACTTACTCACTTACTTCGCGATCCACGAACTTCTACCCTTTTGCAAAGCTAACCTGGTAATCGCCAGGCCGGCTTCTCCATTTCGCTGTACATTAAATCCCCTTTAGATAAGTTTCGATGTATTCATATTGCTCGACTATTATCCAAAACCACTTATATCATATACCTAACTAAATCCTCATTGAATCTAATCCACTGCCCCGCAAACGTAAAAAGCCAACGTAAAATTCAATTCTGGCAATTTTATTTCGAGAGGGCAATAATTCACTATCGCTTTTGTTCTGCATGTATTAATGCTGATCTATATGTATTATATATACACGCTGCTATAAATCTCCTGTCCCGCGGCCCCCGTTTCCCTGGCTGGCAAACCCCCTAATCTCCACAAAGCCGTCGTCGTACGGACTCGTATCGCGCTCACTCTCCCGCTCACCCTCTGCCTCGCAGTCGAAGAACGGAGCTGCAGCTGTCGCGCGCCCTTCGCCGCTGCGGGCACTCCTGGCGTCGGCTTCAGCGCGCGCGTTACTGATCATGGCGGGAAGCTGTCGCCGTCGAGCGTTGATGAACCAGTTGGAGATTTGGTCTGCGGTCCCCGAGTAAGTTCTTTTGTTTCTAAAATGCAGAAAATTCGTTGCTTTCATGGACGACGATAGTCGGTGGGATTGCCAGACGGGAAAAAGGAGGGAAGGGAAGGGAAAGACTTACTCATTGCCAAGCCGGTCTGGCGCATCAGGCTCTGCTTCTCGTCTTCCGACGGGTACGGATGTTGCAGATGCGACATGAACCAAGCCCTGAGGATGTCCGTCGTCTCTTTGGGGAGGTTCCCCCGTCTCTTTCGCGGTCGGTTGTCTCCAGCTCTGTCCTGTCCATCCGAGCTGTACGGAATCATGTTTCCCATGTGGATGTTGTGGCCGGAGGAGAACGGCCCGGAGGAGAACGGCGTTCGGTCTTGGCCATGGGAGTAGGAAGGAGGACCAGAATATGATTGCCCGCCGATTTGCTGGTACCCATAGCCGAAGGAAGGATGCTGAGCCTGCATGTCGTGGGCGACTCTGGGTACAGGATGTTGAGCCTGCATATCGTGGGCGACTCTGGGTACAGGTGGGTAGTGGCTGTAAGTGCTTACTTGGGGACCTCCAAAAGAGTATTCCGAGTAGTTGGTGTTGTAGGGCGTCGGAGTATTAGAGAGAGCCGAAATAGACGGAAGAGTCGGTACTTGTGAAGATCTCGTAGCTTGATTAGACCAGATATCTGGGCTCGGGTATGAGCCGCTGGGACGTCGATAATCGGGTGCTGATGTGCTTCTAGGGCGGCTCATTATACTCGGGCTACGACGGGGCGAATATCTTGCTCTCCCGCCTTCCTCGCCTTCCTCCTCGCCATCCAGTCTTCTGCGCTTGCTATCCGAAGTGGGCGAGCCAAATTCTGCCCTGTACTCCTCTGGTATATTGGACAAGGATTTTGGCAAGTTCTGTTGAAGAAATTACGATTAGCAACCTGGCATTTGAAGGGGGGTTCAGAGAGACCTTACCAGCTCTCGGATAGATGGCAATTGCATTGGTGATGGGTGTGGTTGTGCTGGCTCTGCATGGGCCCTATATTCTGATCTTGGAACCGAAGTAGCCTCTGGATGCCTGCGGTCGAGTAATGCTCCCGGTCCAGCAAGGTGCCTCGGAGGGGATCTTGTTTCTCGACGAAGGGCAGAATCCCACCGCCGCTCGGGAGGGTATCGAGACTGCGGTGATTCCATTGCTCCAACCGCCTCAGCTTGTGGCCGTGCAGAACTTCTCCGCGAGTTCCCTGGAAGCGAGGGATCTACGACAGCTGTTAGTGGATGCATCGTTAATGAAAAGCTGGTAGCGAGAGCGAGGCGACATCTTTCTGTTGTAAGAAAGCGTAGGAGTAAGAGTGGACAAGTAAGAGCTATGAGAAGCATGAGTCGCAAAGTGACCGAGGCGGGCCATTCAGCTAGGTAATTGTTCCGGGAAGGAGAGAAAGAGAAAAAAGAAAAGAGAAAGGGAAAGAGAAAGGGAACAAGTATATATAGAGAAACTGTCAGATTGGAGAAGGTCAAGTTAAGCGCAGTGTCAAGCGCAGTGCTAGACTCCACTACTTTTGATGTGACGACATGGGGCACTTGGCCGCTCCCTAGCAAGCGAGGGTGGTTGAAGAAGACCTGGAGAAGGAAGATATAACAATAACTTGACATACGAGCCTCGAACCGATTACCGCCCAAGCCCGAAAAAGTGTGCTTCGAGCTCCTGTTCCATACGTCACCGTGCCCTACCGACACCTGGGTGAGGACGGAAGTTGCCAGCGTTGCGATTTATCGGAGGATTTCTCTTGGTGAATAAGGGGAGAATACTGGGTGGGTTCGTGATAGATAGAAATGGCGTTGAGTTGTAGGCGAGGGTGGAAGTAAATAGTGTGTCAATGTTGATACCGCTGCCGATGTTGATGTTGATTTTGAGGCTGCTGTGCAAGTAGGTATTCTCTCTCTCTCTGTCTGGGCCGAGACTCGGATTTGACATGACGTGAACATGGGGTAGGAGATCTTATAAGCACATGTATTGTCCGGTGCTTGGACCATGGACCATGGCCTTGTTGATCGACGTCGACGGCCCGCTGTATACATGCCGGGCTGGGCTTTTGACTCTTGACTCTGACTTGACCCAAGGATGACTGGGGTCAGGGTCGGGGTCGGATTTGGGGTCGGGAAACAGATGAAGATGAGGCGGCGCCAGAAGACTGAAAGTGGAGACGTCTTTGCGAACGGCTTAAGCTCAAAAGGAGCTCCTCCGTAGTGTCGAGCGTTAGCGTAATGTATGCAGAATCGCATAAGTAGTATACTTAGTCTAGTATAGTATATTATAAATATAAAAATGACTTCAGCTGGGAAAACGGCAGACGGAGAGAGATCGGTGGCAGCTGCTTTGACGAGAAGCTAACTAGGACTAGACTAGGAGAGAATAGAACAGCAGCTAGAGAAGTGCTTGAACCGAACGATCTACCGAACTACCGGGATCAGAGATTAAATAGCTACCCAGGTATTGATAGGCAGTCGTAGAAACACGAGCTACTACATACTAAGTAACTCTCTCCTGGTATAGACAGATCTACTCTTGGTGATGTGATACCCAGATAGGAGTAGTTACTAGCCAGCAACTGACCACTATACTCGCCGACACGCCAGGATCTCCAAGTATCGGATCTTGGTTGGCAGGACAGGCAGAGCGGTAGGGTAGACTGCCAGGGCAGATCCAGATCCAGATGCAGATGCAGATCCAGAGATGCAGCTAAATTCCCCGGACAGGACAGGGGGGGGGAGGCCAGTTTGATAATGCAGCCTGCCGCCCAACAGACCAAAGGAACACGGGACACGGGACTGGGACTGGGACTGGGACTGGATTCAAAGGAAGCCTTGCGATTCGATGACCCGCAGCCAGAAAGTATCACAAGACCAATTTTCTATAAACCGCGACTCGGTTCGACTCGACTCAACGGGTGTATGTGTTTTGTTTGTCTTGTCTTCAAAACTCTTGGCTGGCATGCAGACAAGCGACGCTACAGATCTTTGACAGATGGAACGACCGAACGAACGAGCGACCGAGCGGACGAGCGGATGAGCGGATGAGCGGACGGGCAGATTGAACGAGCGCCCGCTCATGGGAAAGGAGAAATGGATGCATCACACCTATCTACCTGTCAAGATGTCTGACAGGTCTAGCTAGGCCTGAGACAGACTGAGACTCTGAATGATATACCCAACACAACACAGCTCATCATCCATTTACTCAACGGCACCATCCCCCTCCCTCTAATCAATTGCTAGTGTGGATCGCAAAGAGAGTAAGGGAATAGCGGACTCCTCAATATAACTGACTAGCTAATTAACCAACCAACCAACTAACCAAACAATCCCTCAGCCCTCTGAGCTCGCCGATATCGTGACAGAGTAAATCGAGGCAGATTTCTAAATACCCAAGAAATGAAAACGAACGACCAAATGGTTGTGTTTCCGGTCAAGACTCCGCTGGCAATATTCCATCCCTATAGTTTCCACCTTTAAGCGAGCGAGAAAGCGAGCCAAAATCCCTTCAGAAACAAAGAAGCCACAACCGTCACAAACAAAGATCAAACAAACCTTTTCCGAAATGTCGCTTCTGTCAACGGCGTTTGACGTAAGTCTCCACGTCTCGCCCAAAGATGCGAGCTTTACCTTCCCTACGCAAGGCATCCGCTGTCTGAAATCTTTCCTTCCACCGGAGCCATCCCCCGCAGGTCCCCTTTTCCGACTACTGGATCGCTCGTCCTCCGTTTCGCTTCGCTTCGCCTCCTAATTTTGAAAGACGTGTATCATAATACGAGGAGGAGGCATTGTGGCCGTGGCCCCCCCTTCGCAAGGAGGCTTTCTTTCTTACCCCTTCTCTCTTGCTTCTGACACCTGGAACAGGCTAGGATGCGAGGTCCATGGATGACAGCGCTCGCTCGGGTGAATTCTGATTGACGCTGGGACCTGGAGACTAGGACTGGGACCGGATATACTGTGTAATACTTCGCCGTTCGCTGTCATGGGGATCCTTTGACGGACGGACGGACGGAGAAGAATACGAATGAGACGGGGCGCGGACGTGCGGTGGATAGTGCAGTGCGTTCCATTGCGCTGCGTACCGGTGCGTACGTACACTTGTCTTCGTATCCTATCGTATAGCTTTTCTTTTCACGTGTTTGACACTTGACACTGATGTCGATATTTACTAGTCGTGGAATTCCAAATATCTAAACAAAGGCTCTCTGGATAGGATATATTCAGAATTCAGTGAGGCGCAGTATATCTGTTAACATACAGAAATATATATCTTTCTACTTCTCAGATTACATTGTATGATGGGGCCAGCTAGGTGGAACTATGTGATTCTGGCTTCTGACGCCCCTATTTTTATGTCAATCGCCTGTTTCTTCTAGGGGCCCGTTGGAGATGTCATGCATTGAAGATCTATGATCAGGGGGGGGGGGCGTATATCCTGGCTGTATCCAACTTGGCACCAATACCCTGCACGCCACAATGTTTTCCTGTTTCTTTCTTTGTATTTTCTTCTTCCTTTCTTTCTTTCTTTGTTTCTTTCTTTCTTTGTTTTCTCGGTGCAGAACTTTGAAACAGAGCTGGGTAGCAAGGTAGGTAGGTAGGGACGGTGGTGGGTATGTACCCACTCACTCCCTTGGAAATTCAGGGCTCTGTACGATATGATGATACTACAACTATGATCAAAAACAAATGGAAAAAAAAGGTAAAGCAGGTCAAAGGTAGAAAGAAGCTGGCAGAATTCTCATCTTCATACATAGGAAGAAAACAGGAGGAAGGTTATAGACTTTCGCAACGACAGCAACAAGTCTATTACACACATCATATCTAAATCACCAGTTCAAAAACTATCCTCTCTAATCAAACTCCATCCATATTCCCAAGTCACCACTAGTCAGTCGGTCTATCGATTTACCTAGCTGCTTACTCGCTCACTTATAAAGGAGCCTTCATTCATTCATGGTCCCGAACAGATTTTAAATCCTCAAATATACTATACAAAAAAAAGGGTGAGGATATTGGCTAACATCGGAAGATAAATTTATATAATCTCTTATTTTAACTCTCAAATTGTATGTTTCTTTCTGTTTTCATTTTCAGCCTTACTCCACGATGAGAGCAGAGCAGAGCAGAAAGAGCTTGCTAGCTACCTTACCAATTTACCACTGCAAAGAACTCCGCGGCAGGTTGCAGGCTGCAGGCTGCAGGCGTAAGATAGCTGCTGCCGTATACGAATCATCAAGTCACATTACTATTCATCATTGCATGCTGATCTAGAAATCTCAATTCCACGATATTTAGCTAGCTAACTGCGATCAGCTGGATGGAGAGAGAGGTACGTGGAGCTCAAAGAGCCAAGCATATATATATGTATACACCGTAGAGAATTTCGCCGACGCTCCTTTACTTTCTGAACTTGAATCGAATCGAATGTAGCATAAGGTATATACCATATATGCAAAGCAGATGACGATATAACCATGACAGCGATGCGATATCGAGTCGACATACACATACATACACACACACACATATATATACATATACATCAATAAATCAACCTATCTGCCCTGGCCGGGCAAGAACCAGCTGCACCGCACTCGCCATCTCGAATCACGTACGAAGGTCAGCTGAGCCTGAGTAGCACACCCATCCACTCGCCCACCCATTAAGCAACCAGATCCCCTTATACCAGCGCCCTTTTACCTATCCCTACTCCCCTTCCCATTTTCTCTCTTCCCAGACATCTCTCTCTCTCTCTCTCTCTCTCTCTCGGTTGATCGGCTAGACATACGTAAGGAAAGTGCAAACCCTCTCACGGCCGAGGGTCGACGACGTGACCGCATAATTTGCCTAATTTGCATGATCGGTAAAAGGAAAGAAAGGAGAGGAAGCGGGATAAAAAGCAAATCTCATCGTGCCATACTTGCATGCGATGCGGTTTTTTTTTCTGGGGAATCTAATATACGGATGGAGTGGGCGAGCCGGGCCGGGGGCCCCGGGTTCGGATCTCCATTGGTGTGGCATCGTACAAGACACACTGCGCTGGCTGGTATGGGATGGAGGTGGGTAGGTGGGTAGGTGTCATAGGTATGTAGCATAGATAGGTAGGGAAGGGTCACAAATTGGGCAGCTGTTATTTTTTTTCGGATTTGGAAAGGTGAGGGCGGTGCAGACAGACTGTGAGTATTCGTTAGGTTTTATTTTCATTTCTATTTTCTGCCTTGTTGAGATTGAAAGTTGTATGTGAGTAGGTATGTATCTAGGCCGGCGAGGAGCAGGTCAAGTACGCTCTATACATCACCTCGTGATCACTCTTGAACATCTATATATGCATATATAGACACATATATATCAGATGATATATTATGACACGAGCTACTCTAATTTCGCCGTGGCACAAGTAAACAGATATAAATATGAATATCACAGGGAGGATCCTCTTTCCTGCTGACGTGGTGTGTACCTGTCCTGACAACCTGGGACATAAAAACATGAGATTCCGTAAGGTCTTTCTTCGAAGCCCCCGATCCGGAGAAAGATAATGTCTTCCAAGACATGCAGCGGCATGGGCGCGCGCAAGTGAGCAGCAATGCTGCAGCCAGCCGTCTCCAACTCGTCGTTTACGGACTAGATGCTGTGTTTACTGTGTGCTCTATGCAGCGTCTCCTCGAGGCATTTCTCGATGGTTGCATAAAAACATGTTACGAAAAGGCGATTGCAGTATCTCGCAGGAGGCAGCAATATCAGAGTGGGTGGGTGGGAAAGGAACCCACCCGTGCTGTTCGGAGAATACAAGCAAGTGAACATTTTCAGATGGAAAGAGGTGGACTCCGAGACACCGGTATGGTCGGTGCTATTAGCATTAGCTAGCTAGCTGTACTCGGATCTCCCTCGGTCTCGCAATGCTCTACTAAGAGAAATAAATGACATGCATGCATCTGGAAATGCACGCGTGATCTCTCGTCTTGGTCCCTCGTCCTGATCTTTGGGTCTATCTATTGTTACTGACCTTAGAGCCTTACCTGATCTCGCTCCGGATATAGCTAGCTACCCGCATTTGATATACATAACATATCGACCTTTTGAACAATCGAAGCTATAGACATCTACCAGTTGCTAAGTAGATCGGAACCAGGTATGCTTCTTGGCCGGCGGCAATCTAATTGGCGCAAGGTTGCATGATGACAGGAGTTTCAGCGGCTGATCTTGCATGTAGAATTATGTTGTACGAAGGCAACAGCCGGGATTTGCTACTTATGATGCTACTACTGTATCTCTATCCCCTATGTAACACGGATCCCATTCCCAGCTGCTCCAGCTCTGGCCATGGATTGATGGCCATGGATTGATGGCCGCTCCTTGGGACGGTACGGTACGGAATGCTGCGGGCTTGTACGGCCCACGATGTAGCTGCATGTCGTTGTCAATGCACTGATAGGCGGGCGGGCGGGCGGGCTGCTGGGGTTCTGATTCTAGTTGTGATCCTGATTCTCATTCTGGTTTCTGGTTCGATTGTGGTCATGTTGTGGTTTCCGTATGTCGTGGTTGTGATGGTGTTGCTGATCCACGGCCGGCACGAGAGGAGTCGAGAATCCGGTACCGAGATTGGCGAGACATAGACCCTGGGAGAAATCTGGAGATCCCTCGCCGAGCCAGCGGTCCGTGGATGAGTGATCCTGCATTGTGACAACGTCGCCTGCCAGTCGCGGCGGCAGGCAGGCAGTCAAGGGTGTTTTGGTCCAGGCCAGGTATGCCAGGTATGCCAGGTATGCCAGGTATGCCAGGTATGCCAGGTATGCCAGGCATGCCAGGCATTCACGATTCCCCAAAAGGTAGTGAGAAAACCAGCTATAGCCGTGCTACCAAAAAAGGCATTTGAAATGCCACTAAGAAATGGAGACTTGTTTAGCCGTAGGTTTTTAAGTGAAAACCTCTTCTATTTAAGATTATCGAAGTAGGGAAAATGGTGACTTGCTGCGGACCGAACCTTAGTAGACTATGTAAAAAGTCGTAATACGTCAGTATCTTTTGCAAAAAGAATATGGATACATGTACGTAGATAAACAATAGCTTAGGGTTACGGTCCGATTATAGTGCAAATAAGGTTTGTAAGGGGGTTGGGGGTCAAGGTTAACCTTGTCGATTAGCGTGGATACCTGAAGTAGGGCGTGAATCTAGATCTGAAGTGGTTTTCACAACACCTCCAGTTTTGTATGAGGTGGCGAAAAGGGTTTGAAAACCTCAGGTATTTAAAGGTATTTGAAGGTATTTGAAGGTATTTAAAATACTTATATGGGTCCAGACCAAACACGGTTTTTACCGAAATATAATACCTGGGGCCACTACCAGGTATTCACGATACCTGGCCCGGACCAAATGACCCCTTAGTCAATCAGTCTATCCAGACAAGAATAGGCCAGGGTCTGAGATTGCCTGCTACAGCTACAGCGACAGCTGGAGTATCCAAGCCCTTGCTAGATATCCCTCGCAAGCAGCTCTGTATAGGGCACTCCATGCTTTGAATTTGATAGGCTGGCTGTCTGTGCAACACCAATTCCCAACAGTCCACAGTCCTATCGTAGAGTGGACCCAGAAGAGCGTAAGAAAGAAGCCCGCGAACAGCTTTCCATGCACGGGTCTGTCCGCTTGCCCGTGTGCTGCGAGCCGGATCCGGACGAACGGTCCTGGGTCGCACTACTGCGAATCAAAACAAAAAAAAAGGGGAGGGGGGGGGTCCGGGATGCTGCGTAACCCCGATCATGACGGGTCTGGGAAGTACAGTCGTGCCCGAGTGTCAGTGAGATTGAAAAGTACCACTCGATGGGAGCTGGGAGAGATCCCGTGCAATCAAGTGTAACTCGACCCAGTATACCCAGTAATATACCCGCAAGAAGCAGCAAGCGCCCGGCCGTCCCAACAACATCCGTCTTGAAGAGAAGAGGAGAAAAGATGGATTCTGCTTGTCACATAGCCGGGAAGTGGCATATTCCGTACCTCCGTAATAATACTCAAGGCAACCGACGGTTAACATCCGTAAAGAAAAAACTTCCCTTTCTTTTTCATTCAATTAGTCAAGTTTTTGGTGTTCCTCTGTGACCTAAGCTCTACAGATTGCACCGCATCAAATCAACGTAACTGTAAGTCAGGTGACGTTGTTTCACGCGATTTAACCTTTAACAGCTTACGGGTTTCCGGGTTTACAGTCTTAGCATATATCCACAAAACGCTTGATAGAATATAGAACATATTTATACACATCTGTATTCCTTACTTCCATCTTACCTTCTGTCCTTCCCTTCCTTTAAGCTGCTGGTGTTGCGGGCGAACGCCACGTACCCCACGAACGCCACCAATCCAACGCCCACCGATACCAGCTCTTTTAAGACCTCCAGCAAGATCCCATCTCATCCAATCAACGGTTTGGGTCGAAGTTTGTCTTAGCTCCCTTTCCTTTTCCAGCATCTAGCCCACAAACCCAAGTCATCGTTGTTGATCATATCAGTTGCAATATCCATCTTCAGCATTCGAACAGGTTCATATGAAATTTCCGAAAAGCGTAATGCCTTCTCCGGGTCTCCTGGCACCATTGACGCGATATAATTCAGAACAATTCTGTCATCTCGGTGCCATAATGTCCTAAACTTTCTCTTACCATTCCTTACCCTAGCGGCTCGCTCTGGGATCCATACTTTGGCCGTATTTGTAAGCTTTTCACTATCCGCTGTGATAACACAATAGCATTCGTCTTCTGCCGCCTCCAAGCCAGTAGGTGTGTTTACTATTTAGATGATTAGCCTTCCGCGTAGTACTCAAAGGTGTCGATCCATATTATTAAAAATAAAAATAGAAATAAAATCGGCTTACTCGTATAAAAGCCTTTCCCCAATTGAGGAAGGAATGCTAATTCATCGTATTTCTTATTTCATAAAGCCTTTCATTCTCATTGATAGACGCGGCTTCCTCCTATAATTCGCGGAATTCATAAATATAAATGCTTGTATTACACTGATGAATTCAAGTGAAACTTACATCGGAAACGGTTCGACAGCCGATGACTTCTCTTCCTTCCCCTTGATCCCTTCCTTCTCCTGGAGCTCTACTAAGAAGAAAGCTTAAGGCTAGCAAGATCGAGCAGATATATTGCGAAAATGGCATCATTTTAGGAATACTGAAATAGTGTTGATGTGAGCTGACAAAAGGGGATAAGCTCCATTTTCATTTGACTAATATTAGTAACTGTATCTGAACTTTTTACGCTCGACTCTAAATAATCGTGCGGGCTAATATATTTGTTTATAACTACCGGTATATCGAAGACTATCTTAAATATAGAATCGAATAGTGGAGCATGATGGATAGGTAATGCTGTATGATTGCTCCGGGGGCCAAGGGGACCTCGCTTCGCAAAGGTCACGTGTATAAGGCTGCCTTCCTCAATTTTTATATAAGAAACATACTTTTCAAACTATGTAGAATGGATTCAAACGCCATATAGGAAATATACTTGAAAATTATGCAAAAAGGAATCAAAAACGTATCTTCCGGGCGATAGTAATTCTAAGCTTCAGCCCGGCCGGCGGCTACGGAGTAAGTTTTCCGGACTTCGCGGTGTATTACTCTTTCATTGTAGCCCTCTGAAGTGCAATGCAGCCAGCTGTTCCTTCAGCATTTACCTCCCTACTATTAATCAGCTGTTTATCTTTTTTTTTAGTAATTGTCGGTCACCATAAATTTCATTCGAGAAAAATTGATCCGATTTGCCCTGCAAGTCAGAACCACCGACCCCGGGACACTTTCATTAAAATACTTATTAAATTACAACTGCTACTATACACATTAACAAAAATGCTACACGCTTATAAAACATTGCTATACAAATGTGGACTATGAATACATAGATGCATGTAATTGTGGCAAGTCAGAACATTTAAATGTAGCGAAAATATAGCTAAAAACTATCTTCAATAATTAAACTTTACTTGTCTGGCTTAATCATCTCAAAAATCACAACTCCGATAAGGAAAAAAAACTTCCCATACATCGATAGGAGACCATTGAATCTATCACAATACAAAAGAGAATAATTATTAAATGAAAACCAGTGGTGTATAAAAGGTATTTTTGATGAGTTTTGCTAGAAGTCCGATTTTCGTATTCCTCGCTTATTCTAGTATTTACACGGCAATTCTATTCTGACATGTACGCATAATCAAAATCAGTAACTATCATAACCCATCGTACCTTCCCTCGCCATTTGACTCTCAACGCCATCGTCAAGCTCAGATTCACTGTCATAAGAAACTGAGTTATCATCGTTACCTTCGTCATCGTCTTCGGAATCGGTTACAATAGCTGATTGGAGAGCCTTGGCGCTTGGCTTTCAAGCTCGAATAGGGCGTTGTTCACTCTCGCTTAGTCAAAGCACGGACCTATATCTTCAAAAAGTATACCAAAAGTACCGTTCTTTTTGCTTTACCACAGCACAATGATAGATCAAATGCATGTAATTAGAATATGATAGGTGATTAATTCTCTATCAATTTTAGGAGGGCAAAAGTAGGTGCTCCGGGTCGGTGGTGCCGACTTGCTACAGCAAGTCGATTTTTTTTCTTTCGAATCATACTTGAAGGTAACCGACGATTATACCATTCGAGAAAGGAAGAATCCATGACCGCGTTGTATACAGATCGAAAAGTGACCGAAAATTTTGCAAACAGATAGAGCTGGTCAGTACTGACACCCATAAAGAAAAATCATCTCTCTTTTCCAATAATTTTACTCGGCTTTTAATCATGTTTCTTGGTGTTCCTGCGTGGTTTAAGCTTTACGGATGCACCTAATCAATGTAGATCCCTGAAGTCAGGTGACAGTATTCAAGCGATTTGACTTTTACGATCTTAGCCATAATCTACAATTAGCTCAATGTAATATAGAATATAGAAGGGATAGAAATTATATCACATTGTCTGTCTTGGGGGGGAAGGGCATTCCATTCTTGCGTCGGTGACACCTCGAGGCCAGCCGCATCATGCATGCATGCATCCCGCCGTCTTCCAGGTCCCCTCGGGCTCCATCCGCCAGATCGGGTTCTGGTCACGAAGTGTCAAGTTTCATATCTGCAAATGTCACGACGGCCTTGCGCTACGGTCGCCTTTCCCTATCCTGACCCGATCCCGACCACTGGCCTGATTGTTTCTTTTTTGCGAGAGACGCATCGAGTGACAGGCCCAAACGGAGAAAATTATCAGCCCGAAGTCCGATGCCATGCTATCCATGCCCTGCCCTCCCAACCACGGGAAAAAGAAGGGACAGGCCCCGGAGAAAACAGATCAGAGCATAACTGCCCGCCTAGGCCTGGACTGAGGTTTGGGCTTAGATGTTTACTTCAGGCGCGGTCTTGGGAGCGCTTAGCGAGATCTCCAAGGAAGGAGACTTTTTGTTTGGAGCCGGAGAAAGCAAACATCGACCCTTCCGCAGACCTCGAAAACTCTCGGCCATGCGGGCCCAGGACCAGGGTCTGGGTCTGGATCGTGGAAAGGTGCATAAGATAAATTGAATAGATGCGTGATTATGGCCATGGCGGAGCAAACCCGACCTCCCCCCATAGCCAATGCCGATGCCCATCAAGCACTTCGTTGGAAACGCCGTGGCGACCTGCCAAGCGTAGTCTGTGCAGTATCACCCGGAATGATAGGCAGATCACCCCGCGATATGAGCCTCTCATTCCAGCATATTGGGCATTGGCAATCCCTGGAATGGCGCAACGTGCAGGGCCACCCATAGAAACAACACACATGTAGTTGTATATGTATGTTGTACGTACAGGATGCAGGATACAGGATACAGGTATCCCAGATTACAGGTTACAAGCAGATACGGTACGGTGACGGCACGCTGCAGCACCTCTGGGACACGTACACAATCCGCAACCCGCAAAAATCATTGGTACCGACGCGGTGAACAATGGGGAGATGCCACTCGTATGCGATGAGCCGATAATCGTGCAACGGGGGGATCCGACAGCTCCAGCTGCAGCACCCAGCATCCAGCATCCAGCATCCAGCATCCAGTAACCAGTAACCAGTAACCAATAACCAGAAAACCAGTCCGTATCCCACTACCTGCAAGTACCAGTACCACATCCTAGGCCGGGGGATGTATGGGTTCTGAAGTCAAGTCACTCCACCGGCCGTACCGGCAGGCGACAGCTGTCACATCTGTCTGACCTTGAAGAGCTGAGGAAAGCGACGTTTCCGTTTCGGCCTGAACGTGTCACTCGCTGGATTTGAACGGCCTGTCCCTGGCCTTGCCTTGCATTGCCGCAGCCCCTATTCTAACTCGCCAGAATTTTTGAATTTGGCAGCGTGACGACATACATCCGTACATCGAACGGAACGTCAACACCGGACCGATACTGGGTATTTTTACTGTAATGCCTTTGTTTCCCATGGTCTACCATGTAAGGCTAGGCAAAGCAGAGCATCTTGGGCTTGGGCTTGGGCTTGGGCTTGGACCTTGGACTTGCACTTGGGATGGTTTGATTTTGCATTGCAAAACTATTCGCATCACTTAATCATCCACCTTTGCGAGGAGAGAAGACAGGGGAAGAAAAAGAGAGAAAATTAATCTAGACTGGAACTGCAACTCTCCTTTCGCGCATCCCACCCCTTTCTCTCTTCTTCTTAATCTTTCTCTTTGATAGTAATTACCATCGACCCCTCATATCCACACCCGCCTTGTGCTCACCAAAATCTCGAGAATCGCCACATCAACACTGTTCTATCTACTACCCGTAATTATATCACATGGAGTCTTAAATATAGTAAGTTGCTACAGCTTTCCTAGTACCTACCTTAAGCTGCCGAATTCAAAAGGCCGGCGGACTACCTTGCGTGTTGCCCAGCGAATGCAAATCATTACCATCACCGGTCACCCACGGACTTATTGCTCATCCAGATAGATAGGTATCTATCCTATCCAAAAGCAATAAGCCAGCTGAGTTGTCTTTCTGGCTATTCTAGGACGATGCTGCTAGTATACAGTTGACAAGGCTGATCACCCTTTCCTGTTTCTGTAGATATTAGTTCCCTTACCGCGAGAGAGCTACCCGCATGCATAATATATCTGGGTTTAGCGAGGTAGGTGCCTTGAAGTTGAAGCCTTGTATAGTTAGTGTCTGGCTTCAACGCTTGTTTCTTGAAAGTCGATTACTCGGTCATCTAGTCGGCTTAAGAACATGGCAATTTAAAAAAATCCACCCTTCTTTAATATTTTAGAAGTCAAGATACTTATCTCTCAGTACCCTTCAGCTCCGCGTCCCATTCCACTTTATCGCTATAGAAATGCAAAAAAGTGCATCTCTTTTCTCATTATTCCTGCCGTCGCGGATAGTGCCGGCATGATCGGGGCGATGGATGCCTCTTCGATGACTTACAATCTTGATTAGCTAGGTGACGAGAATTGAATTCCCTTTTCGAAGTTATGAATTCGATTATCGTGATGCTACTTCCATCCTTCCATCCATCCTCCTTTTCCAACTTCCGGATTGGGAGATGGGAAAATCCCAGGAACAGCTACTAACTATCGCCTTACATATTTCTGCACATGTATCACCATTCTCCTTTCCTTCCTTTTTTTTTTCCTCTGTGTGATTCCAGACCATGATTCCATTAGCTAGTCCAATCCGTTCCTTCTTTTGCATTTGTGTGCGTGCAAAATTCGCTATTAAATCAGTTAGTGAGTCAGTCTATCTATCGTCGTCAGCATGACGGGAAAGCAAGAGTCAACATCTTCTAATGAAAAGAAAAAAGGCCTTTTCCTCTTTTCTTCTCGCCACCTGCATGCCTTTCTTCCTCCTCCTCTTCCTCCTCCCCCTCCCTTTCCGGCTCTTGGGCCTAGAGAAGTATACCCGCCTGCCTAGCGGCGGAATCTGGCAGCACCGACTTCCTTCCAGGTTTGAGCCTTCGAGGATTAAACGCAGTAGGTAAAGATTGTATCAGCGAGACGACGCTACTTAGTTTCACTCTGCTATCGTCGGTCTTCGTAAGCTGCCTCTGATCTCCTCACCGCTGAAGCTGGCTCGGTCACTCGGTCGCTCGCTCCGCTGCCAACATATATTCCCTGGCCGAGCAGCTGCTCGTGCGTGGAAATCCGAAATATGTATCGCGGCCTTCCCGTCGCGTCGCGTCGCGTCGCTGGATAGAAGAAGTCCCATTTTTGATAAATCGAGAAAATCTGTTCTTGTTCCTGTTCTTTATCTAGTATTCTTCAAGTCGTCATCTGTCTTGGGACCGAAGACTCAGCCTCGATCACCTCGATCTCTCCTCCTCTCAGGTGTTTGGTAAAGTAAACGTTTTTTTCTCTCTCTCTTTCTGCGGAGAAGGAATCTAGAAGAAGCCCGTAGAGAATGTTGAGAAAGGTCCTAAGGAGGGTGCGTGTAAAGTAGAAGAGAAATACGTTGAAGGAAAAAAAAAGAAGAAGAAGAAATGCTTTGACGCGTATGTTTGGCCTGATCTTATTCATTCCAAAAGTCTTGCTACCTCAGCTTCAACTACTAGAAGCAAACTGGAAAAGCCACGGGCAATTCGAGGTAGAGACAAATTCATTGTCCTGTTCGTAAGTGTCTTTGCTTGAAGGCTTCCATGTATCAGCAGGCAAACTGTACATCAGCGGCGTCGGAGACCCTTGTTAGTATAATTGCTTGCCATTCAGACGTCACATCCACTACTTATGCCCCAGAGGTATTCCTCCACGCAGGCTCTGTGGAGGGGGGAGGGGGGAAGATTAGAGCTAGCACTAGATCTGATAGCGTGAAATGCAGAGCATTTTGGCTGTACAGGTAGGGAATCGTATATAGCTCGTCGCGAATCTTCTCTTCTAGCTAGTTAGGTAGGCTCCGGGCAGTTAGCTCTGGCACCGCAAACACCCATTCTGCGCGCATCCCTGCTTTCGCAAGAAAAATAACCAGAACTGTACGGTTTTGTGATGGTTATGAGTGGGCATATGTGGCTCGATCGGAAATCCAGATATAGTTCGGAGGAATTTGAGTGCCATAGAGATAGACGATTAGCTATGCCCAGCCCCGAACGGAGTTGGTAGGATGGGCACTCTACATCTGTGAGACGAGATAAGCGAGGTTTTGACTTGATAGATCATACAGTGGAAAGGCTTTGGCTGAGGATGCTGTAATAGTATTTTGCATCCACCCCCTCGGAGGATACTGTCAAGTAAACTGAAAGGAAGTTTATGAGATAGCATGGGCTGCATTTCCGAGAGGTCAAAGGGCAGCTGCCATTTTAGAGGAAGGGGTATGGAGGAATCGTTGATCGTATTTGATGACGTGATCGGAAGATTTGGGAAACCCGCGGCTTTTTATACAACCTTGAATTAGACATTCGGATTAACGTTGCTAAGCAACAGTTTGCTCTCGTGTGTTTGTAGTTCGGTCAGATCAGGATCGTTAGAGGCAACGGCGACCATGGGCATGTTCGCGTTCTCTGTAGAATAGGGTGTATATAGTTAGAGATCCAAAAGTCCAAATTGTATGGTATCCTTTACTCACGAGTTCAGGCAAGTTGTCAGCCAGCCAGCTTTCAAGGGGCATGTATCCTTGATCAAGATTTCAATCTTTTCTGTAGCGCAGCGGGAGCCCTTTGAAGAATCGTAAGTATTAACATGAAAGTGGCGGCCAAATCGGTCAACAATGCTGCGAGCAGCATCTTGAAAACAGCTTTGCGGACTATTGTAAACACCCCGCCTGACATGCCTCCTGCCAGGGCCACTAGGGCCACACTATGCGGACCCATCTTCTATAAGAGGGCACACATCTCCTAGCTAGAACAATCAACGAGCTTTCCACCCATCTTTTTTTTTTGCACTTCCTCGTGAGGACCATGAGGTCTAGCCTTGATGTCGGGCTTCTATACGACACCTCCTTTTTGGTGCTTCTACACTATCAAGGGCGTCTTTCGAAGAATATGCGAGCAGCGCGCTGGCTTCAGAAACACCTTCTTCAACCTAATAGCCTTAATAGCTCAGCAGACTCACTCGCGTGTTCTCGATTTTCCGTCCTGCACGTCCTGAAGAGCCCAAGACTAAAAAAAAAACCGCTCAGAATAGCTTGTTCTGATCTTCTCCTAGTAGTGTAAGTCTCGTGGCAGAAGGCCCGAGGAAAAGGATCTCTTGGATTCCCTCAGCACACGCATGTACAGGAGGACATTGTACCTCGCTTACTGAGATCTTCCAAGTCGACAGCATTTCGATATCAGTTGAGCAACTGCCCTTCGTAGCAGCACTCGGTAGAGTTCGAGATGACTAGCGTGGAGTCATCTATTGGGTGTAGTAGGAGATGCTTGGTGATTGCTCTTGGCTTAGATTTTGAACAGACTTTCCTTGAGAATATAGAACTTATGGGGACAGACTCAGCAACGAACCATCTGCAGATGAACCTAGTTCGAAGGGGGCTTACCGCGTACTATATCCGAGATCAGCATAATCAGTCTAGACATATTTATGCGTACCGGTATGTATACCCGTTCGTACATGATGATCAAGATCTCAGGACTGGAATGAGAAAATTGCTCAAGTTGCCCGCCGATCGCATCATCTCGGCGTAATGCAATGAGATACCTAGGTACATCGTTAATAAAAGTATATCTGAAACGAGCTCAGGCTCGGACGCGGACGCGGACGGGTATTGATATTGATTGGTATCACGTGGTATCACGTGGCTATTTATAGCACCGCGCTAGTGATATCAACTCAACTAACTCGGCTGATCATGATCACTACTTCACGCAAAAAAGTTCCCAAGTTCACTACCAACGACCTTTGGATGATCAACGAACGACCCTTGGATTATTTGGATCATGGATCACAATATGGGTCATCATTTGGATCATTATTTGGATCATTATTTGGATCATCCATCATATCATCGCTGTGAATGACGCGTCTCGATCCGAACCTGCAGATGAACATGAATCTTCTCACTTTACAATTCAAGAGCAGAAATGGACAGTGCTCAACACAAGCAATACACAACAAGCCTCAAGAGCATTTCCAATGGGGCTTATAATGTGGGAACATAGTCTTATTTACCGTGCTCGACGACAATAACAACGAGCCTGAATAACAACAACAACAATATCAACATCAACAATAACGATAACAACAACACAGGGCCACGGATATCGATATCTTCATCCGACTCAATATCACCCCTACCTAACTACTCCGTACATACCATCCAGAGTTTTAAAATCCAGAAATCGGGATTAAGTGTTTCAAGTTTCAACGACGCGTGGCATTCCATTCCATTGCACCAGCCCGATGCTGTTCATCTGCATTCCGCCTTGCATACTTCTCGGTAGAGGTCTCGGTAGATGTCTAAACATCCAACCTATGAGATGAGGTAGAGCTCCGATGAGATGGCGATTGACAAATTTCAGACGGATTGGGACTTCCCAAGATATCTCGAGGATAAGTATAAATATACCGTAAGCTCTCTTCGTATCAGTTCATCATCTACATCATCTCCATCATCTCCATCATCTCCATCATCTCCATCATCTCTATCTCTCTATAATCATCGTCTTACCATCTTTCAGCTTTATTCCCTCGAGAGATTTACTCCACTCGGCAGGGCCGCAAACTTTTAGCTTGCATCATGCAATTCACACCTCTCCTCATCGCTGTGCTGGCCAGCAGTGCTTCTGCTGCACCACCCGCTGGCTTCGGTCTACCTAGACCCTTTGGCGTAGCTTTCCCTGGCGCTCCTGCAGGTACCCCTACTGATATTTTAGCGCAGGAAGCCCCCGCAGAGTTCTTCACCAAGGGAAAGGGTGCGTTCATCCAGGAAAAGCCAACTCGCAGCGCTTTTGGAGGATTCCCCGGCGGGTCATTTCCCACCGGGTTAAAGCCCCCTTTCCCTTCTCTTCCTTCGCCACCAACCGGCAAAATCGGCGATACATTTCCCACCGGTTCAAAGCCCACTTTCCCTCTT